ATGGTTAATAATGATTCATACAAACAAGGTCCGTCATCCAACTAATTGACTGAAAAGCAAAATGTAATCTTTGAAAATTTTCACGTCTATTTTATTTCTATTCCTCTTAATATATGAAGTCTACTTATGTTCGTATCTATAATTATTACTTTTATCAATATCATTATTGGTCCCTCGACACATTAGATATACTTTTCATCTCTTCTTATCCTTCTAAACATATATTATTCTTAAACATCCGAAGTCTATAACTAAAAACAAATCATCTCATGATACACTTAAATAGATTAACTTCTCAGATTCGTTTTATCTTCATCATATATATATATATATATATATATATATATATATATATATATATAACACATAGAAATTTATATTTGATTATCTTTTGCAATTAATTGTGACTATCATAGCATCATTCTTAATTATTATTGCACAAACATCTATGCTAATATCCGGTTTCACTTTGTATACTATTACATAAATCTAAATGTATTTATCCGAGTACACTAAAGGATTTATTTTGTTTATTTATTTTTCTAAATTGTTGGTTTACTTCAGAGGTCGATATTCATTACATTATTATTATGATTATTATCATCATCATGGTTTAAACCTTTCACTGGTGTTCATTTATATTCTCTCTTTTTCCCTTCTGAATAGATATTATTCTTAAGATTAGGAAGTTTGTAATTAAGACACAAACTTGTGTTACACGTAAATAAACTTCTCAGGCTTGTTTTATCTTCACTATGTAAATATAACTCATACATATTGATATTTATTTATTTTAACACATAGATATTGGAACAAGAAGGCACCAAATACATATGCGCCACACAGATCTCATTCGATATGTGATTCTGCCCGGGTGACCAAACCGAAGCAGGTGGTTTTCCTAGGGGGCTACACCCGGAGCCTTCGACCTGAAGGTCTGATCAACGAGGCAGTGGAGCATCGTAAGGAGATGCAGTCTCATGGAAGCTGGTGACCAATAATTGGTTCATACGCCATTTGTTCCCTCAGGGTACTGGAGCCTATGTGCACCATTGGTTTGGAATCATGGTTTTCCAACTCCACTAGGTGGACTCTCCATGTCCACCAACCCGGTCAAATCGCCGGACATTCGCTTTTCGTCCTCTCAATTTCGTAAACAACATTCCCGTCACGAGAAGGCAATGAGTAGGACTTCCCTGGCAGAGGCTATATACGCGTGGCCATGCGAGAGCATTTCGAGAGGGAGAGTGGACTCTCCCCATTCTCGGACGTACCAGGGCATTTGGGGGCATATTGGTATTTGGTTATGCTTTTCACTTAATTGTGACTTTCATAGCATCACTCCGAACTATGACTGCACAACCACTTATTCCAGCGTCATATCTTACTGCAATAATAAGTTATTTCTTCTGAATTGTTTTCTATTTTATTTTTGTTACTAATTTGACGGTACATACATAGTCGTTTATTCTTGTTCTGTGTTCATAAACACGTCTATTAAACTATTTGCGTATTTCACGTCTCTTTTATTTCTATTCCCTTATTTTCTTCCTTTCCTTCTTTAAACTCAATCCAATATTCTTCACAATTACACAGAGCCTGATTTTTTATTATTGTTCTATAATTATTATTCTCCTTTTCAAATATGGCAAATATAATGTTAACATTATTGAAACTTGTGTATTATTGCATTTTTGAAGAAACCCGAAATGGCTTCTTCACAACACTTATGTACCCATAAGATGTTTGTGAATAATAATATTAATAATACAGACCTTGAATGACATGGCTAAAAAACGTTTGCAGTGGCGCAGGTGCAGCTACTCTTTGCATTCTCCCAAATTCTAATCTTCTGAATTCTTCATGCCCCTTTTTTTCTCTTGCCAAATTTATTTCACTGGATTATACTCCTCGACCAACATCTTCAAACTCTAATCTTTCTGATTACTGCTTATACTTTTACTATCTCTACCACTACGGAATTTGAATCGACAATTGTATCTCTGTGATAATGTAGTATGGGAACTCGAACTGATGTACGTACGTACAAAGTTGTACAGTGTTACTGACTGACTGCAATAGACGGTCCCTGTTATCTGACCTGCGACCAACATGTTCCAATTGGCCACCTAAACGACTCTCTTCTAAGCCTAGACGCCCGACCTGAGCATTCAAGTCTCTGGCTAGTACTATAATATCTATCGAGGCCACTTTCTGTAGAAGAACTGTTAACCGGTGGCGAAACTTATCCTTGATCGCGTCAGGGCTGCAATCTGTCGGTGCCTAGGTGGAGATGGCGAAAAGACATCGTTTCTCACACCGATTTCTTCTTACTTTGGTGGAACTTTCTAATCTAACAACACATAGACGATCGATCAGTGCTACCTCAGCTCTAGCGCCTCTGCTATACCAACGCCAGCAAAACCAGACGAAGATGATACAGGGTTCAGGATAAACGCACTTAAACCAAGATTTTCGAAGCAACAAATGGAGAGCGAATTTGTAGTACTTCACTGGGGTCTTGAATGCGTATGTCGGATAGACAGTAGACGTCGGTATTAGGACTTTCTAAAGACATAACCGGCCCTATCTTTTGTCTGATCTGCATTAGTGTGAGAACGTTGAAGGAACCCAGTTTGAATGGTGCACGTGATTTCAGAAAGACTGTTTCAGTATTCGTATTCGGTGGAAGCATTTGGTCAATGACTCAAGATCGTATAGATAGAACAGGTTTTCTACAATAGATGAGCTGCTCTATAATTTGGAAAAAAAGAATACACAGGGTGAGAATAGAAGAGAGTAGATAAATGATGTAATATATAAAAAAAATCAGTGTTACCAAATGGATGTGAATTTTCTGAATTTTAATTGAAGCGAGAACAGTGTTCTCAGTAATTATTGTCACATCATTTTATGTGTGTGATACTGTGTGGGCGCCCAGACGAAGTAGGTAGTTCACTTAGGAGCTGTTTTAAAAGTGAACTGTGTGCAGAAGTGATACTTAAGAGCTCTAATTTTACCGTGACCCTAACTTAATTTTTTCATACACGGTAAGTTCGTCCGTAATTCCTTCAAATGGTTTTACTCTTATATTCTTTGTAGCTATCACCTTCGTTTTCTAAATTCATTCTTTACCTTTCTCCTACTCGTCGAATGGACAGTGGTCCTCCATGCAACTGGTTTCGTTTTAATACTTTCCATTAACTTCTCAGTTGACACGCAACCATCTTGACTGACGGAGTTGCGTAAAGCCGTTGTTTCTTAGTAGGCTATTTTATTTTTTAATTACGACTGGCCTAAGTAAATGATATGACCGGAAAGAGGATTTTCTTTTTTTGAACGGTCTTTAATTCCTCTTTAATTAATGCATTTACGTAGGGTACTTCTATCATTTTAATGCTATTAGTATGGTTAGGTGCGCCAAACTGGAATTAGTTGGCATGCATGCCAATAGTAACGTCAATCATGATTGAAGTTATTAAACGTAATATTCCTTTGAAGGGATTTAAGATCAATTTGAGTTAACACAAATAAAATCATCATGGCCGGACCCTGTAAAATAGAACCAGATAATGTGGAATATTTGTAAGCAGTAACGAATTCGTCTCCTCACCTTGTCATTATCACCCATTGTACAATGTCGGTACCACGTGGCTTAAGTCCCTCCTTAATGGGTTCAAGGCAATTGTCCGCAAAATTCCCTACCTCATACGTGCAACATGAAATTCCGCACCGCTAATGTTCGAGCAAGCCCAAGTCTTTGCGCCAGGCAACTTTTATCTGGAACCACAAAGGCTAAGTTATTATAAGTACGACCCGTTTCAAATGTTTCGCAACAAAGAACGGCGATTGCCAGCGCCTCAAGTCAGATTATTTGACTTCGTCTGTTTTCGTAGGCATTTCAGCACTAGTTTAGTCATTCTAACATAGAAATGGAGACCACTCCCCGTAAGCATACGCCACCCGCAAGTACTATTTGGTCGCCACAGTGAATTTTAATCCAACCGTTGATGTTAACTGGGATAAGGAACAAGTTCGCGTTTCACTGCTAATTTATAGGTTTATCTTTCAAGTTCTAACTCGAAGTGAGAAGTTCTGAACTACGAGTCAACGCTAGTGAGAATCGACGTTGTGGTAGCAGACTGTTATTATAACTTTAACACCACATGAATTTTAGCCAAACAACAAATTTCGTCGCAAGAGGTGACTATGACCCACTTCAGTGAACCAGTGGTGACGAATCGGCTTATTCTGTCATCGGTCATAGTTCACATGGCAGACACATACCAATTTGTCGAAACTAGCACAAGTTGGGTGCGTAATGGTAACAAGTGAAAACCTGCAATTTATATCACGGACTGATCTCATGCATGAATACGAAACTCGAAGCAATAAACGGTCCCGTCGGGCCCAACAAACAGCATTTCCAAAGTAGCTATGGGCCACGTGTTACAAGAGCACATAAAATTAGAATATGGATAGATGCTGGGATGTTAATACTGGTGTCTCCGTAATGGCTGTATATCTTGGAGTAGCTGAATTGTTTACTAATCTTGCCACGTCATTAACAATGGCGTTGTTTATTGTGACAAATATGAGATAACTGAGTTCACACTTTCCTAAGATAAAGAAAATCTGAATATTAAGTGTGCGCTTTCATTTTTAGATTTCAATACTATTCTTTCATATAGCCTAAGACTAACAATGAAGTATCCGGGTGACTGTTATCAAAGTGACATAATATGCAGTCTTAATGACATATTTTATACACCAGAAATAAGTATCCCAACGTTGAGTCACTAAGCAGTCGATAACATCAAAACACTATATACTAAGAAATTGGTACACGCAATACTTAGATAAGTTTCGTACTGTCCTAGCACAACTTACACCGGAAATGCCATCCGCTTGTTCTTATCGTAATCGAATCGATAAGCTTCGTACAGCTAAACCTAAAATAACAAGTATCCCAACCAATAGAGTTAAACTGAGTCGTCGCGACATATCAACATACATATATATTTATAGTTCTGACTATCTTGATTAATATTACCTCATAAAGAAATGAAGCAAAACGTTGACCTTCAATTGCAGAAACGTTTAGTCGACCTGACGTTATTATGGGCAAAGATCAGTAATCGATAGTACGGCAAACTAATCACTGAGACTGAGTTCTAAAAATAAAATTGGGCGTTTAGGAAATATAATTTACACTACTAAAGACAAAATATTAAGACAGATAATAGGACTTCAAAATTAACATAAAAAGTTATTTGTCATTTGTAGATGGTGGTCGACTATTAGAACCTCCAGAGGCACCAACGCTAGCTGAATTATCCGAAGGAACATTTGCCACAGTTTGATCCGGTTTTGTTGATATTTGGGGAATAGGATAAGAAGCACCCGTACTACATTGAGGCGACTGGTGGTGTGTATGCTGCTGTGATTGTGGATAGGCTGGAACTTGGGAAGGACCAGAATTAGAATAACCAGACCAAGAATGACCACTGTGTTGATGAGGCGTGTAATGTTGTGATGGCACAGAATAAAAACCACTCGGCCCCACATTACTACCATGGGTATATGATGGTACAGGACAACCTAGGAAGAAATCAGCGTTAATAAAAATTTTTCAAGATTTCAAAAGTATACTTATTGTTACCCATGTTGAAATTGAAAACTTAAAGAACTAATCCGACAGTCCCTGCGTCTCTAATTGAACTTTGAGATTCAGCAAAAGCTTTGTCAAAGGTTAAGCAATCAGTCACTCACCATATCCCAACAAATGAGCCAGATTTTTACCCAACTGATAACTGGAAATTGATTCTTTTAATTCAGACCGTAAATACTCCATCAATAAGTAAGCAGTACGGTTTAGTCTAGTTATGACTTGGACTACTTTATTGGTCATCAGTGTTTAATTAGAAAACTCGAAATCAATGGGAAATGTTGGAATAGATTTAAGTTAGACTGGTTTTAGCTGGAGAATTCGAGTCAAAAACCACTGGACAGGAGTTTTGGCACAATAGTCCGTATTGTGTTTGATTACGAATCAAACCTAGGACTTCCGGACCTCGCAAAAAACCTATTAACGTCATAAGAATAAGTCCAAAGCCTTAATCTCAATTTACGGGTGGTGAAATGTGACGACTACTCAATATTACTAGTTGCTTTACCTTCGATATGTTTGAACTTCAACAGGAGTGATTTCGCACTAGAAATGAGGAGAATTTAGAACAACATACGTAAGCGAACAATATTGTTTTCGACTAGATCCTCATCAGACTTTACTCGAATATACAGTAATATTTATATGAATATACGAAATTATTAAACCAATCAAGGCAGTTTATCAGTCAATGATAACAGTCGAACAGATTACAGAAATAAGTGAAAATTACAAGTTGGTAGTGTGATGACAGGTGTACTAGTTGTCATAAGAATAATAAAGGCTTGAATCAATGTCAAATAATGGGAAATAGGTCGTCTATGCATATAAACAATACTGTATATTAGAGTAAAGCCTGGTGAGGATCTAATCGAAAACAATACTGTTCGTTTATATATGTTGTCCTAAATCACAATATGGGAATTTTTCAAATTATGAGAATTATCTTAATATTAAGCACTAATGAGGACGAGACTGTTGCTTAGGTAGTTGACTGCGGAGATTAGCCCAGTATTTCTCCATGTAAGGTCAGTTCATAAAGAGAATTATCTCAAAGCTGAACTTCTTTTCGCAATCAGCTAAGGTGAGAAATTGGCGTAGTAGATTACTAACACTTCAATATGAGTGCTAATTTCAATATAAACAATCTACTACCAATGATAACTGATAAATGATTAAGGGTAATTTTTAACTTGGTAGATAAAACTTACGACAAAAACATGACTATGTCAAATACATCTTGTTATCAATTACAGGTAAAACTGGACTAAAATGATAAAAAATGTATGGACAGATTTCATCTTTGATGAGTATAATCTAATACCTGTTTCATAGTAAAATAAAAATTGAAAGATGTGCTGAACTTTTAGATAAGTTTTGCGTTGCACATTTTTAGTATATACTTTATACATCGTTATATCAATTCTTGGAGCTACAGACGCTAAGTTAGTTTACAAATATAATCCTTCTATGTATTTTAAACATCTACGATCTAGATTATAACAGTTAGTAACTACTCATGCTTTCGAGCAGTCTCATTATTGAGTACGAATAATACTCACTAGTTCTATAAGGGGGTATCATGTATGGCTTACAGCGAAAAAGTGTGAAACTTGTATCAACATGCTGCGTATAATTTTTATAAGTGGCTTTATAACTTTAGCTATGGTAGACGTTGAATTAGAAAGTAATCTGCGGCTTGGAAAGCTCTCTATCTGATACTGAAACCAATGTCTATGTATAGGCAACCTAAGATTTAATTTGTAATGGTTTTAAGACAGTGAAATAATTCAGCCTATTTTACTGAACTGTATAAACACATAGGAAAAACGTCTACCTTGATAATAAATATTGGCTCCTTGAGACTGGTTAGATACCATTTGACCCATACCAACGTCTGCAGAGGACACCGACATAGTAGAGCACGGATGGACGTTATCAACAGATGACAGAGTTTGTTGATTTGGGACGACTGGCTCAGTCTGAGATCCAGACATGTAATGAGATGGATGTTGACTCTGAACATAGTCTGGAGGTACTTGTTGTTGTGTAGGCCAATAACTGACGACAGAATTTGGCTGTTGCTGTTGTTGATACGGTGGTGGTGCCGGAATTGGCTGAGAAGCAGCAGGACTGTCCTGGATAGAAACAGGTACTGATGAAATATTTTGGTGTGGATGAGTTTGAGGGCCGTGTTGACCAACAAGATAGTGAGGCATTGAATAACCGCTGGAATTGGGACCGAAATTTCTCGGAGTCTGCATTGGGTATCCCACTGAGCCACCTAAGACTGGGTAACGGGGAGGACCATAATGTGGTGAATACGGTGGTGGGCCACCATGATGCCAGTTATTTGAGTTGTGTTGCTGGGGTGGAATATGACTTGAAGTATGTTGAGTGGGACCTACCATCGGTGGGACGAGCTGAGGAACATGAGACTGTTGTGGCATGTGCTGAATATACATTGGTGGGGGAGGTGGATGCTCCGTAGATGGTTGTGGTGGAACTGGATGATACTGTACGGAATTGTAGGGAGTGTGTTGTGAAAACTGTGGGCGAGGATGAGAGTAGCCCACAGGATTAGAAACGGAGACAGGTTGATGATAATAACTGCCAGCAGACAAAGTGGGGTTCGGCGGATTCCCAATGCCAATTTCGTAGCAGTAGGGTGTCTGCACCGGACCCCCGAAATTTGCGGTGGGACAACGGGGTTAGCAGGAGCTGGGGCTTGTTGATATTGAGAAGTAATGAGTTGCCTTGATTGGGTTGTGGACCCTTGCTGAAATTCGTTGGACTGTCCAGGAGTCATATCAAAGTCACCAGGTTTAGTCTGATCGACTACTCCTTCGCCAGACTGAGAGATAGGTCGTTCTCGCATATCCTGACTAGTTGCGGTTACAGCAGCATCTTTAACAAGGTCTGAATCAACCTTTTTCTTTTTTGACGACGTTGACGAAGCAGAAGAGGCCGATGAAGTAGAAGATGCAGATGAAGGAACTTTTTTGGTACGGCCTAAAGATACTGCATTTGGTTTACCTGTGTTATTTTGTGCTGCTTGTTGTATATTTGGGACCGGACTACGCTGATGAATTAAAACGGGTGGATTTGCCGGTGTCGCGGCGTTGGGCACATAATGTAATGGGGGTGGATAGTGGTGCTGGGTATGACCGGACTGAGGAAACCTTTGCGATGAACTTTGAGTAACTGGTTGTGTGAATGTATTTCCGATTCCAGCATACAAACCTGGGTTGATTTCATGTCCAATTTCTGAAGCTGCTTTCGGATGATTTGCAGGACACAATAAATTGGCTGAAGCAGAAGGCAACTTTTGTGGGGGTTGTGAACTCGTATCTTCTCTTTTGTCCTAATAAAAACAGTTCACAGCCGATATATATACAAAACATTGACGTAAATCATTATATCCAAAAAAAGTGTTAAAATAATATTTATCAAGAAATTTATCTTTCAAGTGTAACTACAGAACACTGATTGGACAAAACAACAAGATGTACTGAGCAGAACAACCGATGAACACGATATAAACAGAAAACAAACGCGATTTTATAAACATTCAGTCCAAGTCATTGATACTGTAATAAGTCAATATATTATTTGTTTTAAATACCTAAGAGGACCAATTAACTGACAATAAGGATGCATATAAAACGCAAGCAAAGACTAAATAAACGTGTGCACATGAACTTTTGAACGATCTACAATAAAATATATTCAGTATCACTAAAAATTGCCACCATTAATATGTCGCAAGTAAGTCGATCAAATTAACACATGAACAAGAAAAGCAATTCGTGTTGGGGAATACTAGTCACTCGAATCAAATAATGAGAATCTCGAAAATTGAATTTAGTGTATGATACCATGTCCCCAAATGCCCTGGTACGTCCGAGAATGGGGAGAGTCCACTCTCCCTCTCGAAATGCTCTCGCATGGCCACGCGTATATAGCCTCTGCCAGGGAAGTCCTACTCATTGCCTTCTCGTGACGGGAATGTTGTTTACGAAATTGAGAGGACGAAAAGCGAATGTCCGGCGATTTGACCGGGTTGGTGGACATGGAGAGTCCACCTAGTGGAGTTGGAAAACCATGATTCCAAACCAATGGTGCACATAGGCTCCAGTACCCTGAGGGAACAAATGGCGTATGAACCAATTATTGGTCACCAGCTTCCATGAGACTGCATCTCCTTACGATGCTCCACTGCCTCGTTGATCAGACCTTCAGGTCGAAGGCTCCGGGTGTAGCCCCCTAGGAAAACCACCTGCTTCGGTTTGGTCACCCGGGCAGAATCACATATCGAATGAGATCTGTGTGGCGCATATGTATTTGGTGCCTTCTTGTTCCAATATCTATGTGTTAAAATAAAATGAATAGATTGTTTACTGATTCCATCGTAGTGCACATGAAACAAGACTTGCAGATGTAGTAACCACTCCTTAGAATTGTTCAAAAATATCAGGAACCCATCACAAATAGCTCTCAACAGTCAGGTGTTTTCAACGCTGGTAAATTTATTCAAAGTGTCGTAGTGCGTTGTCTAGAAGGAGGACGAAAGCTTCACGACTAAACCAACTGACTCAGAGAACGGAACCCCACCAAGATGAATAGTATCGTAAACTTGTTTGCTACGTTCGATAACATCCAAATGTCGACTTGTATACCAGACAACACTATAATAGCTGACGGTGGACTAAGTTTTGTTAAAAATGATTCTGGTAACAATTTTTTGACGTTTAGACTGTTTGGAAACCCTAGACCACTGTTCATTAAGCTGTTTGGTCGTTCATGGTGGACCATGCACAAGAAAATGTTATTTCTGCTTTGTGATTCAGGACTATAGAATTATGTGAAATTACATTATTGCTGTTATCATTTTAAATCATGATTTTGTCCTTTTGCTTTTACAAACAGGTGTTTACATAAACGGAAATAAGTCTACCGAGGATATTAAAGTGGACATAGATGACCAAGCAATATAACCTTTGCAATTACTGGATGGATCTGGAGTGCCGACCGATTATTACTATGACTTGGAGTGCTGGTGTATGAAATCAATAAACAAATTCCGATCAAACAGTAAACTTTATAGATGGATGAAGCAAAAAGAATTTTGATGAACATTTACCTATGGTTACAGAAAAAAGACCTGGAATATCTTCTGGAAGCCAGATGTTATTTTCAAAATGTTTGGTAACGGACCGGTCTGGATACCCTAAAACAGCTTTTACTCTACTCGGAAACTAGAGCCAAGTGAACAGTCAATGACAGGTATGTAAATACCCGAGGTGTACGGTAATAACGAAATTAGTTAGGTTGGAAACAATGAAGGTGAAAATTCAGAATGATTTTGATAAAATACCTGTGCTATCAGTCTTTCTAATGAGCGGTCACTAAATTGAATATTCGGGTCATTGTGCGGTGGGGCTGCCTGATTTGGTCTCATATGAACTTGCTGCAACTGTTGTTGATGTAGTAATTGACGTCTGCGTTCAGATTCCAGTAGCTCCGCTTCTCTCTGCTGCCGCTGCTGTTGACGCTTGCGTCTGATTTCTAATTCCGCCAAATAACGAGTCTTACGCTCCTCTTCTTCACGCTGCATATCGTACTTCGCTTTAATTATCATATCAGCAAACTGAGACTCAGTGATAACTGGTCTTGCTGTCGTTATTTTTTGATAGTCTAATCGAAAACGTTCAGATTCTTCACGAATGCGCTGAACTTTGGCTTGATGTCTTGCTTCGCACCCTTCAATCTCTTGACATAAGTTGCGCTTGTGGTTTTTCAGTTGCTCTACTTGCAGACGTAGCGTGTTAAGACGGCTTTGGGTGATTAGTTGACCAGGATCAGGGAGTCTCGTATCACTTAAAACTTCTTGCATGAGACGATGGTTTCTCTGGAAACGAGCGGCTGCTACATGCTTCGCAGTGAATTGGTCTTCAGTATCTATGATGAAAAGAAACATTCAAGTAAAAAGTATGTTCGTTATATCTAAATATTCGTAATATTTACAAGGTCTGATTATGCTCACGGACATTGTACACATACAAACTATCGATCATTCATTATCAACGTATAGTCACGCACAAATTTTATGTTAGACAAACTGCCATGATACAGTAGCACAGAATCAAAAACGGTGCTTGAAGGAGCTAACTTCTGGTCTGAGTCATGTCGGTAGATGCAGAAGACTTGGTTGGGGTCGCGTGATTATCGTGACCAATAGTTGGAGACTGGATGACATGGCTCAGAATCAATCACAGTGGCGTAGGTGAATACACTTTTTGTCTTCCCTTAAACCGTAAAACTAAAATCGCTTTCTATCTTTCTTTCTACCAACTAATTCTTTTTTCATGTACTATATCCTTATATGCTATCTTATATTACCACCATTGAATTAATTACTCCTATGAATCCAGTGTTTATCTTGCCGTGCTAATGAGGTATGGCAACTTGGACTGATGCATATATGTGCCTGGTCCTACGTTGTAGCTGACTGACTGAGTAGAAATTACCTTAAGTTGGTGGTACAGCTTGCATATGGTGATGACTCAATCGAGCTGTATTAGTTGCAACGTCCAATCCTTAGGTCCTACCACGTCAGACAGAATGGTTTGAGAGCAAATGAAATAAAAGCAACAAAGTAAAGGTCTGAGGGTGATATCGTACGACTAACCATTTAGGTGTAATGATAATAAGGTGCTTTACTTACACAATCAGTACCTTCAGCGACGCTCTCTTCTCAGTGAAAGAAGAGGGCTACAAAAATTCCACCCTAAAAACGACACACTATCTTGCCCATTGGTTTTTCACTGACGGCACGAGGTTTGAAACGTACAGATTCAACACATTAAATTACTACTAATAGTAATATGTTACCACGTGATATCGCTTAGTATACTTTGACGCTCATATCCAATAATGTAATTCAAATCTACGATATAAGCAAAGATTACCTTCTTCGTTATCTTCCAGTATATAAGACTCCCTCAAATCACCCTGAGGAAGTTCATTTCCACGATCTCTCGACCTTAAAATTGATTGCCTGCGCCCTTGGTCTTGTTCTTCCATGCTTTTTTCAGCTAAAAAATAATAGTGGAAGTTATTGAAATACAATACCTCTTTCCTTCGCTACCAACCAAGCCTGATATGCTGGCGAACTATGGTACTGCCGTAGTAATTCCGTGTATTGGGTTTTCTCGGCATCATACTCTTCGACATATAGTATTTTTTCATCATCAGGAAGCTCACGCCACATTTGCCCAATAATTTTCCCAACCTCCCACAACTTGAGATGTGGATTCGAGTTTTTAACTTGTTCCCAAACTTTTCGGCTGTAGCGCATGTACGGCATTAATGGTTTTTCAGGAGGTTTGGGAGGTTTAGGGACACGCATATCACTCTGAGGTACCATTAGATAATAAAGAATAATACCTTAGAATTCATTCTAATGGTCTGGAATGTACTATTATTATGTGGAGATTGAAAGTAATATGACTTAGCTTCCTAAAAATTAAAACAAAAAGAAACGTAAAAACTACTTTACCATTTTAAAAATAAATACAAAACTATGTACTTTGAGTGAGAACTAGTGGATCTATTATATCCGTTGAATCTGAAACGAACTATGAACCTGCATACAATCACGATACAAGAGGTAATAACGGCTAACACGCTAAGTGGACAGAATGCTTTTGCTACGTTCCTATACAAAGCACCTACTAGACTGAAAGTTTACTCAGCTGTGAAGTTTTGGGGTGCCAAATCGAGAAACGAGTGAATTAGCTTGGCAGGAACAGGTTCTATTTAGGGTCGACCGTTAACAAATACAGGAGTGATCAGTATCAGAACTCCTGTCGTTTTTAGGCTTATCCCATTACAATGTACAAACCTTTATCCTAGTAAGGTAAATCCTATTGAATTTAGTGACATACAAAATCAAGGAATAACTACGACCAGTCTTGTACCACTAAACGTATGTTACAACAGCTTGCCATATCTATACACGAATATGCCAGGGAATCGACGATCAATGAACGAACTACAACTACTAGAAACAAAGCAGTGGATGGCTGACTCAAGAGAAATGATTTTTCATCCTATCGTAATCGTATAAATCACTAGAGAGGCGTCTGTGAAAGATGAAAATCATGATAACAAAGGACTGTTCTCATTTTTTCAATTGGATCATGATTAAGATCGTGGCGACACCCCACAATGTAACAGACTTACGTCCGCTACTTAAGCTGTCTTAACGAGGAGTTTAGCGGATGCTCGGAAATAAGGGCACAACACAGTAGACTAAACTGGAGGCACACCTCTTCACGAGTAGTAGTGTTAGAGTTTGCTGCCTGATAAGGCAGTCCGAAAAGCTTGCCAGTTCTTCAGGAATAAACTTTATATATACCCAGGGACTTTATGAGTCATTTATTTTTCTAGTGTCAAATGTAAATTGCTCCCAGCTTGAAGGAACCGGTGAGATAATGCTGCTAAGTACTGAAGTCATCTAATCGAAAGCCCCTCTAGTTCCATCCACAACTCTTTGAATGAGTCTGCACTAAGTGACACAGGACGTGATTTATGGTTCGCTCAGTATAATGTAACTGCTACACTTCACAGAGTCAGCTTAATACGATGTGTCGCGTGTTGGAGGTTAAATACTACTAAAGTCCGGAATGAAAGTAGCACTTAATCTACGGACCACATTGGTCATTTACAAAACGCTTCTAGAATAATTCGAGTGACATCACGTACGTAAAGACGATACTGAAAGCAATGAAATCTGAAACCACAACTTGACTGGTACAGTCAAAATATCGCAATTATGGATCAAAAGCTGGTAACACAACAAAGATTATGCAGCTAATTATTTTCAAGCTGATTTTGAGTATATATTTGTCATGCTAACATTAATAATAGACATTTATAATACTGTATGTCAAATGGATCTCTGCTGTGACCAAGAACTTATGATGGTCACCGTCATTGACAAAAAACCAAGTAGTGAGCATTTATATATATAAAACGATAAGAATGATAGTGTTACAAACGTTTCGACCGAGAATGATAGAATACCAAGATCCTCGGACACGAAAATGAAAGCTACGTACCGCCACAATGAGACGAGAAATAGGTAATTTAAACAAGACATATGACTTTACAATGAACTGAGTGACTCACCCAGGGTATTTTAGATGTCTTCCAACTTGTGAAAAGGTTAATACAGTCACAGAGTGGGACTTTGTCGGTATGATTTTGACGAGTTGGTGTTGACAGTGTTGAGCTGTGTGAATTGGATAAAATAATTACAATAATTCTGTTATTTCTGCACCTGACATCATTGAAGTTCATTTAAAGTTGAAACTAGCAGCAGAAGAAGGAACTAACTGAAGGATTAGGCAGAAGGGATCAATGGAAAGATCTTGCTTAATGCAAATTTTTGTAGTCAGTGTTTAACTCAATAGTGTTTTACATCTGTTCATTTAGATCTACACGGATTCACGTGCGGCGATGCATCACCTTATTTAAATCTTCAAAGCGATAACATCTGTGTTAAATCAGCTTCTAAAGGCCAGGGTTGAATCGTATCTCAGAAAGATCTTGTGATAAGTTTATTTCGCGTATTTCCAAATGCGTTGTAGCGGTAAATAAATCCCCAAAATAAATAGTTCTGTAAGTTTTCGACATTGGGTGCTGACCACATTAGTTTTAATGGACTCACCTAGCTGAAGGCGCTCGGTCATTCATCCGTACCAGATCGTGAGTGAGAACGCCGTGCTCAACATTCCTTGCAATCGCTAGCCACTCTAGATCAGTCGATCCTCAATATATTGATAGTCCATCAAATATATCTTCGAGCCTCCTCGCTTCTGTCCTTTGATTACACTTGGTGGGTGTGACCGGTTTTTCCAGTCCAAGAAAAGCCTCAATCGCCACCGTATAACATTACGGAACTGTCATACACTTACAGGTTATCTTAGATTTCGTAACGACTGTAAACGGTCACATACCCTGCGAAGAAGCACTTCAGGTAGGTGATCCTTCTCTAGACTACGAAGGTTAGATAACCCGACTGGCGCTGATAACGTAACGAGTATGGAAAGTCTTCCAGAAATCTCAGAAAATTCTGCAATTTTCCAAACCCAAAATCGACCGACATGAAAAACAATTCGAGGAACTTCCAAGCCGGCACGCGTTCACGGCAACCGTAGCCGACACACTTAGCCGTCTCTTGTACGTCAGAGATCTGATAACCAGAGTTCGCTACCTCGTCGATACTGCCGCAGAAATTAACGTTCTTCCTGCAAATTCTAACGTCCAAGTTCATGAAACGGCTTCAAACTTACGGGCGGCAAACGGAAAGTCAATCGCCACATATTGTGAGAGGTACGTTTACCTTAACGTAGGTTTACGCAAACCCATTCGCTGGATCTTTGTTGTTGCAGGTGTTTCTATGCCAATCATTGGTATAGTCCTGCTACAACATCACGATTGACTCATCGATACGCACAAACGGAGGCCAGTAGTCGGAAGCACTATTTTGTGTGTTAGCTTGACCTCTTTTTCTGGATACAGATTATCTCCCATCACATTTAGGCACACGATAGACCCATTCTATCAACCATTGCTCGATAAGTACTCTAGGATATACCAATCGCAACCGAAATTACCGCGTGTAACCAGCAATGTTACACATCACATCACGACTACAGGGTCACCTGAATTCCCATGGCCACTGACGATATTACAAATACCGCTATCATATCTCCTTTTGGACTTTACGAATTTTCGCACATGCCTTTCGGCCTAAGGAATGCTTCCCAAACATTTCAGATCGTGAAGCTGCTTACGAAAGTTATCACTGATCACACTTGACAGCTTGTTTCTACAATTCAAGTATAAATTCCTTAACTTTCTGATTGTCCTGACGATTAGTTTTATGAAAAATGATGAACTTACAAAGAATTCTCAAAATAGAGCAATGTAAGGTAAGTCGAACTAGATGAGCACATATGAACGTAATATATTTCTACTTCATAGCCAGAGGGCAATAAGGTACAAACGAATCACTAGTCCATACAAATACCACGGCAGCATTTCTTAAACTGACAGAAATGCAAAAAAGTATGTAGAATCCTAAGAGAGTGACGCCAGTGGTCTTAGAAATGTCGTCTAAAGCCATAGGAGTTCGTTTATACCCCTTACCAGGTCGATTTTCGAAAAAAAGTAATAATGAACTTATCTATGCTACTAAAATGATAGACCAATACTAATACTGTGAAGTTTACATGATTCGACTAAATGATTCAAAATATCTTGTGGCACTGTCGAGTCTCAGTTGACTATGATCACCACTACGGATCGATTACATGACAATTACCAGGTTAAATCCCTCTGTACGATAAATATTAGAAGAACAGTTGTAGATTGTAATTGCGAGTCTCGTGGTAACGAAATAATACCGAGATTGTGCCATAACGTACAGGCGAGACCAATGTGGGTACATGAGTAAATTTATGGTGAAAAACAACGGAAAACGTCTGTTATTTTGGTACAGTTAAACAAGAAGGTACAGTAAAACGATCACTGGTACAGTTGGTTATAATAATAAATGTGACTAATTACGTTTCTTATCAGGGAAAATATGTGAACATATGAAATATTCCAGAGGGTGATGACTTGGTCGCTCAAAAATATAACCAAAATATCTGGACTGTCACTGATTATCCGTGGTGCCAAAAGTTTGGTAGGCAAGGTCAGAGTTATCTTCTACCCTACAGTTTCCAACGAAACATTCATCCATTTAAAGAAGGGTAACCGAAAATCAATGACGATTTTTTTGTTGACAAAGTTAAACCCATCTATATTGTATCAAAAATATAATATTGAATAAAGTTGATAATAATAATAATATATTGCTGACAAGAAATATGGTTTTATGTTGAAATACGGGCCAGAGTGCGTGATAATGTCAACTCAACGCAGGTGCAAAACATAAAAACATCACTAGCCATGCCAGCTACTATCTTATCGAGACATATAACACTAGCAAATCAAGATTTAATTTTAGTGGGCGGTTCCAATTTCGTTAAGAGTCAACAGTCAACATACCTGCATCAATCCTCAGAAAAGATTTTATGCCTTTAAAGTGTTGATAACAAAACAATTAAAGAATGCTTACTTACTCCTGTTACTCCCAATGGAGCATAGGCCACCGACCAGGATTCTCCAACCCACTCTGTTCTGGGCCTTCCTTTCTAGTTCTATCCTATTGTTGTCCATTCTTTCATGTCTATCTCCATTTCCCGGCGTAATGTGTTCTTTGGTCTTCCTCTCCTCTTTGGCCTTGACGATTCCAAGTGAAGGCTTGCGTTGTGACGCGGTTCAGTGCTTTCCTCAATGTGTGTCCTATCCACTTCCAGCGCTTCTTCCTAATTTCTTCCACCGCTGGGATCTAGTTTGTTCACTCCCATAGTAGGTTGTTGCTGTTAGTGTCTGGCCAACGGATTCGAAGTATTTTGCGTAGACAGCTGGTAATAAACACTTGTATCTTCTGAATGATGGCGTTTGCAGTTCTCCAGGTTTCCGCGCCATACAGTAGAACTGTCTTGACAGTCGTATTAAAAATTCTGACCTTGTTGTTGGCTTGTAGACGGTTGTTTTGATTCCTAGGTGTTCTTGAATTGTAGATATGCTGCTCTTCCTTTAACGATCCGCGCTTTCACGTCTGCATCAGACCCACCATGTTCATCAATGATGCTGCTGAGATATGTAAAGGTTTTTACATCTTTCAAATCTTCTCCGTCAAGTGTGATTCGATTGTTGCATGCTGAGTCTTATCGACATAGTGTCGAGGAAGTTTCCATGGTGTTTTCCTGTCCACACTGTCAAATGCTTTCTCGTAGTCAATGATGTTGATGTAGAGTGGTGAATTCTATTCAATTGATTGTTCCACAATGATCTGTAGTGTTGAATACTTTTCCCAGTATTGAGAGAAGAGTGATGCCTCTATAGTTATCACACTTGCTGAGATCTTCTTCCTTTGGTATTTTGATCAGAAGTCTTTCTTTCCAGTCTTTCGGTACTTGTTCTTCATTGTAAATCTTGCTGAATAGAATGTGGAGTATCCTTGCATTTACTGCTACATCTGCTTTCAGTGCCTCTGCTGGAATGTTGTCTGGTCCTGCTGCTTTGCCGCTCTTGATTTGTCCGATGACCATGCTGATCTTGTCAACTGTTGGTGGGCTAATATCTATTTGGAGATCCGTGGGTGCTGCTTTGACGTTGGATGGATCCAGTGGGGCTGGTCAATTCAAGAGTCCCTTAAAGTGCTCTACCAACCTGTTTCGCTGTTCTTCAATGTTGGTGATTACTTTGCCTTACTTTCCACTGGTCGTTCTAGTTTACGATAATTTCTAGCGAGTTTCTTTGTTGTGTCATACAGTTGTCTCATGTTTCCTTCTCTTACAGCCTTTTCCGCCGTCATTGCCAAATCCTCCACATACTTACGTCTGTCGGATCTGATGCTCCTCTTCACCTGCTTGTTTACTTCTGTGCCTTTTGTTCCTTCTTTCTTGGATCTTATCCAGTGTATCAACAGTGATCCATTCCTTGTGGTGGTGCTTCTTGTGGCCCAGAACCTCATGACATGTTGAAGTGATCGCCTCTTTTATCCTTCTCCAGTTGCTCTCCATAGTACTCCCCCCTCCATTGAGTGAATCGTGAAAGGCATGGAACCTATTACTGAGGACTATCTTGAATTTGTTGAGTTTGTCAGTATCCCGAAGAAAAGCCGTAGTAAACTTTTGTGATGTTGTCCGCCCCGTTGTCCAGTGCTTCTTGAGTTTCAACTTTATCTTGGTGACCAACAAGTGATGATCTGATGTTATATCAGCTCCTCTCTTGGTTTCGTATCCTCCATCGTCCTCCTAAGCTTTTTGTTGATGCAGATATGGTCGATTTGGTTTTGTGTAGTATGATCCGGTGAAGTCCATGTGGTTTTGTGTATGCGTTTATGTGGGAATGTGGTGCCGCCTATAACCAGGTTATTGAAGGCACATTGGTTTGCAAATCTCTCACCATTTTTGTTCCTTCCTCCTAGTTCATGTCGTCCCATGGTGTCTTCATATCCGGTGTTGTCCGTTCCAAGCTTGGCATTTAGGTCTCCCATGATCAAGTCCCTTGTTGAGCACTTCTAGACGATTGACTGCAGCCTATCGTAGAATTGGTCTTTAACGTCTTCATTGTAGTCGCTGGTAGGCGTATAGCATTGGATGAAGGTCATTGAGATGCCCTCTTTGTTTGTTTTGAAGGAGGCTTTAATGATCCTTGGTCCATGAGATTCTCATCCTGCAAGTGCATTTTGTACTTGTTTGTCTAGCATCAATGCAACTCCTTGTGTATGTGGAGCTTTTCTTCTTCATGGCAGGAATATACTAGAAGCTCTCTTGAAGCTAGTTGTTATTGTCCAACTTGCGTCCAATTTGATTCACTGATCCCAAGCTTCTCTAGGTTGTACCTCCTCATTTCTGCAGCAATTTGAAAGGCCCTCCCGGTCTCCCAAATTGTACGAGTAGTCCATGTACCTAAATAAATGGTTCCTTTGGTTGTCAGAAGGGGAATCAGCCCCATGGATTCCGAAGGAACTCGGCTTTCATCATGAGGCGTCATAACTCTTCTAAACGAAGACCTGGTTCCCAGGGCAGAGTTTAAGTGATTTGAATAGTTTTTGCAGGTTGGAGTATTTTTTGACGAGTTAGTTTTCTTCGGAATGGGGTCGCTAACCCCATGCCCAACCCTCCTCCTTTATCTCGGCTTGGGAAAGGTAGTAGCCACAGAGGGGCTCCAGGCGGAGTTTAGTAAAGAATAACATAATCCTTGTATGGTTCAGCTTATGGGCGTATCTTTGGTGTTCCACAGCTAAATACACCAATTAATTGTGGTAGTTACTACTTTACTTGATTGGGACTGTATATTAACTAGACCGTATCCTTTTGTTAACAACGAGAAACACTACTGACATGTTACAGTTGTGTGTCAAAATACGGCGTTATTGATATTATAGACTTCCACAAATCGCAATTTTAAATTTATACAAGGTCATTTAGTTAAGACAAATCGAGGCACAACATTTACACAAAATGTCAGTCAGGTTGAAGACAGTAAGGTCATGCTAAAGAAACGAGGACTTGGCTGACAATTACCTGGGAATTCGATAACATCGGTAAACACTAATGCTTTTAGACGAAATAGATTTTACAAATTCTATTTTCCGCTTGGTTTTAGATGACATCAATGCATGCACTGGGCATTTAGAAGCACTACTTTAGCTGTAACCGGGGGATTATGCCTGGACTCTCTTTATTATCTACCATATAGTTACTCGAGGGATATAGGTTTCAACAAGGGTTTTGTGGTGCCGTAAGCTGACTCTAGTTAGATCGTATGATGAATGCTACTGAACTATACATCCCGGCTACCCTTGTGCGTAATTATTGACTTAATTCACGTTAGAAAATAACGGGATAAATCAAATGCAAGAATGGATTTTGAATCAGTATATTTAGATTAGGATGAGGAGCAATCGCACGGGATTAGGTTATCAAACCACTTCTGATAGCCGTCCAACCCCACAAATCCATGGTTCTACAAACTTACAGGGTAAATCTTAGAGCCTTATTACATTTAGCTGTGATACCTTCAACTTGAGGTTACTAAGTTTCAAATGACTTGACCATGTCTAGCTTCTAAAGAAGCACCCACGAAAACAATCGGAATTACGTACTGCTCACAAATAATTGACCACATAAACATTTTCATCGTCACGAACGACATTCATAGAGCATAAGAACCATTTTACGACAGTCTGTACGAGATGTAGGGAGCGCCAAGACAGTTATTACCAATAAATCAATTAAATTGATTACTTCATCAACGACTGGGTAAAAGTGGCTTTGCGCGATCGCAGTGCAGAAATGTAGTAAGTAAATTTATTCTTCCACAATTAATTGCCCAACATAACCACCTGTAAGCATTATTCACACAGACCTAGAGATATTGTCATCACAAAGGTTTCTATACAAATGAGATTTTTCATTGCTTCATATTCCATTAAAACCAAGGTAATCATTTAATGTTCATTAGTTAGTAGATGTTACTTTAACTCCACTGTTTTAAATCTAGCATCCCTCCCTATGGTCCTGAAGACACTAATCTTGGGATTACTATGATTTTGTGAATAGGTGATATAAAGAGATAACTTGATTTTGTATCTCATCGCTTGAAGACCGATTTGCTTTGAATTTCTTATTTATAAGAGCGTGAGTTCCATCTACAACTTAGGTTCACCATTATGTCTACGTATGAAATAATAAAAATTTCACTGCACGTTCTTGTATAGAAGAGAATATTCAACATCTCATCATTTGGCAATCTAAAATCAGTCTTTAATCAAGAAGAATATATTCACAGTATTCATTCTTCAAATTGTTTAGCATACCATATCCAAGTTTGTGGAGTTAATTTACTCAAAAATGAAACTGAAGCATTCATGAATTGTCACTGTAAACAAATGACGTTTCATAAGAATATGTAGTCATTTCACATGGAATATCCGTTTCACAGCTATGAACAGATCCTTTCAGATGGTAACTGAAAATTTTATCTTTCGCGTGAACACAATTACTGTTCTAGGATGAGAAAGCCGCTTTCAAAAATGTTCAGTTGGTATCCCATATAAACCCTTATCCAATCATACGCTTCACTACATGTACTGACGTATTAAAAACATCCGTCGAGCTAGTTTTAGAACAGCAGGTGAACGGTAATACCACACAAGTAACATTTCGCTCGGAAAGGTAAGACTCAAGGGGAACAAAACGTAGTACAGTAATACAAGAGTGTCTGCCTACTTTTTGACAAGCATTCCAACCACCTGCTACAAGATCTTGGGTACACCGGTTTGTTTGGTTGCAAGTCGTTGTACTATTTATTCAACAGTTCATCTTAACAGAACTCATCAAGTGGAACTAGACAGTTTGACCGTACATAGCAGCTTAATCGGTATACACTTAAAAAGAGTACAAATGTAAAAATGAATAAGTTGTTAGAAGTGATTGCGTATAATCCATCAAACCAATTAATACTCATCATGCAGGATTTATACAATTCACTCAAAACCATACTTAGTCTATTATCTTATGTTATATCTAGAACTTAAATTTTTGTCATACCGCGTACAACCTGAGCACTAGAACGCTTGAACCCTCCAAGTCGCAATTTTGAAGACATAAGACGAGTGGAGAGGAATCTTATTTTAGTAAAAACAGAATCATCATTACAATAATCCAATTTGCATGCAGTAGCTTTTAGTATTTGTCCAATTGACAAGCTACATACCAGAATTCTGGTGCGTTTTTCCAAACGACGATTGGATGGAATGACTTCGGCTCTTTTAGAGCCTCCTTGAGTTCACTGAGAGCCATCTTCACGCCTCATAAGTGGCCAGCACGGAAAAGCTCGAAATGACAAAAGCCTGAAAATAATCGACATCTACTGTAGAGTAACTATAATAATAATTTACTCACGGTAAGTACTAATCCATCCTATCCCATCTCTTTCCATTCAAACAGCAACATAGGAACTAATTATTTTATTGATGATTAATCATCTGTTAATTGTAAAAGTAGCAATGTTCGAAATCGTGTCATCAATCTACGTAGTAGTAGCAATAGCATTAAATATCAAGGACTTATACATCAATTAAGAGAGTTCGAGTAATAAGAACTAACAACACTCGACTCCACACCCTTCACCTATTCTAAGAGAAGAGACCTACGCTGGCTATCTACTATAAACCCATAAGATAAGAAAAGACCGTAAAAACTTTAATTATTCAGTCATTATTACTAATTACTTAGTATTATGCTGTCTTTCGATAAAATAAGGCTATAAGCATATGACAAGAAACATCAAAATAAAATGTTCCGCTCCTGTTAATTTTCTTGATTTATCCACATTCATGAAATGAATGATTGTATTGAACATGAAAAAACTAGACAAAATGTACAAGGTAACAGAATTTTCTATAAATAATCAAATGCGATTTTCCGTTTTTTACTTAAAAAAAACCTGTCTAAACGATCAGACGAATGAAACAAAACTTCTTAAAAAAAAAAAGAAAAAGTCACTTAACAATTCATACTATGCACTCGATCATAACGACAACTCTCATTTCACCAATCTCCACAACGAAATAAATAAATAATTAGCATCCATGTATTTGTGACCGAAATCTTATATATGAAATACTCTTAGCTTGTATACAGAAATTAAGACGAAAGTGTACTTAGAGAACCACATAAAAAACGTTAACTAATATCAAAGTCGATCTATCTTACACACTAAATGATTATACGATACTAAGAACAAATTACCAGTCTGCTGATCTTTAACTCCTGAACACAGTGTGGTTGATACATAACCTCCAACTTTTGAGGGTTGCAGTTCAGGATCTTGAGTACTGTCTGCACTAAGATCTAACTGACTTCTTTGAGATCTGGAATGGACGGCTGATTTAATATTCGTTCGTATGATGTTATGATAAAAAGTGTGAAAATGTTATTTTTAAATACTAATGAACAGTGAACAAAGATAACATTTTCTGCTCTTCAGTTACGTAAAAGATGGAGAAATCAAGTCTTAGTCGGAAAATTTATTAGATAAGCGAAAAAATTAATTAGTTATTCAGTTTTTGCATATACATTTATTGGCAACGACTTTGTAAAAAAATTAATAAAGTCGTTTACCAAAATCTGCAGTCTAAAAACCAGAGACTACATTTAACGGCAGAAAGTAATTAACGGCATGTAGCGCATGTAGGTTTGGAGGCTAAAAATTAGTTTGATATTGTGCAAAATAAATTACAATAATGGTATCACGAGTGGTTTTTAGCGAAATGGGCATCCTCATCAATCAGGAATTAGACGAATAGGTTTAAAAATTATCGCATACACCTACATACTTTTCAGGGAGAAAATAATACATAGAATAACAATGAATATTTGAATACTCTCCAAAATAATAAAGAATCGAGAAATACAGTGTACATTAACCAGCATTCCCCTACTACTATGTTGATAAGTTTATATCTCTCAGAAATTCTTTTTGATCTCATACCCTTTGAGTTGAATACATTTCACTGAAAAAACAAAAACACTCACAATTAATGAAGGGACATTGTCTAGGTAAATTAGTTCTACCAACTGAGTTGAACCATGTGGAAACATGATGTACATGTCCACCATGACTACATAGTGGACACACTAACACAAGTCCTTTGCAGCTATTTCGGCATACAGTACAGATTAACAATCTCTGCGGTTTCTGAGGGCCTGTAGTAGATTGTTGATTCTCCAAATTCACCTCCCATTGACAATGTGTACACTGTGCAGACTTAAGAGATCCATTGGAGTGTTTAGGAACTAAGTTAGAACTGCATCGCATGTCTGGACATGAAAGTAGAATCATAGCATTTGTTTGAACGTAAGGCCATATGTGGGATAATGAATTTGTACGAATATTGTACGACCAAGATCGAAGAAGATGAGCGTGTAAAATGTATTCGCGTAGAGAGTAAATAATGCTAGCGTAAACATAAATGTAGTGATCGAATGAAAACAAATCCTTCGGATGCACAAATCTAAAACATACAAGGATTCGGGAAATAATAATTAAATATTTACTAGCTCAAAGATAAAATAATATTGAATTTCAAAGAAGTGAAATGTGTTTAATAGTAATAAAAAACCGTATCTCTAAAGTTTGATGAATTTATCATGATAAAGTGAGCAACCTCAAGATTGAAGAAACTCAGTAGTTATAATGTTGATCGCATTGGATTAAATCAAAAGGAATTTATAAACGGTTTAAGAAGTGAATTATACTGATACCACGAAATTTAGAGCTGATGATGACAGACATATCATACTACAGCATAAAGACGGTATCATCAACCAAGTAGGTTGAGGATGTAATGATTTTGTATACGTCTATGTGGATTTATCCTTAATCAAACATATGACAATGGTAATAATAACACTTCAGGCAACATTTTTATCATCCTAATAATTCTATGCTTCTCAAAAATAATTAAACGTGTCCTCGTTAATTATATTAACCGAATTGTATATCTTTATATATGAGCTGTCTGTAAGTCTGTACATACTTACTTATCTGATAATCCAAATAACGCACATTTACTGTTCTTACTGTATGATTGCTTCTACGAACGCACCAAATATATGTATCTCAAGCACACTCGTTTTTCAATTTCTAGCGTCGTGTAGTTATAAACGTGTTGAGTCTAAGAATATATCTGAAAAAACACAAAGGGCGGAAAATCCAAGAAGTGATACCGATCTAGGAAGTCATTGGCTTTCGTTTTGACTCCACTGAAATTCTTGGCGATATCACCCCGCTTTACTGAAATGACTTAGCGAAATGGCAAAGTTTGTAACAAATCCTAGATTTGATGTCTGACTGATTGCCGTTACAATCACATGTACTCAAAAAATCCAGCTGAAGGAGGAAATGACTCATGTCAAGTACCAAATCAATAGGAAAGTCCAATTCTTAAATACAAGGCGAATTGATGGAGGATCATATGGAAAACTTTGAGGAAAAAATAGCAAGCATAATACCATTATGTTTAATCTACAAGAACAACCAACCTTGATTGATAAGCACAAATTGAATTGATCGATAATTCCTTTGGAGGAAGTTGTTCTATTGGACAACCGTTCATATTTTCGTTTGACTGGCCAGATACCAAACTAAATTCACTCTGTGTTTCATCAGAGTTATCTAAGGTAAATGACACTTGTTGTTCTAATGAAGAACTGGCAACTGTATTGCACCCTAAAAGATTTATTGTCTTTTCTGACTCATTCATGTGATATAATGAATATGTCTCCAAAAAGTTGTTCACAGATGACAGTGAAGTAATAGCTAGCATAAAAAGTAACATTTTCCAATCAGATTATATCAAATAACCATTAAAATAAAAATATTGTTTGAGTGTACAAATGACTTGATAATGGTGTTCGATTAATTAAAGATCCATAAGTTACTGTTCATAGAGAGGTAGGTGAAGAGGGACATATTTATAGCTAGAACAATATTTTATTTAATTTTGGCTTACAAAATTCGCAAACCATAAATAAAAACAAGAACACACCCATTGGCTAACAATGAAAATGGTATAACTTCTCATCAGGGATACGTACCCAGATACAGAAAGGTATTTAACATGTATAGTTTGTCTCAGACAATCACTAAATATTACTTATGAAAATCATTAAATGTGTTGATACAAGAGGGTTATTTCATGGATCTGCTGAAGCTAAAGTGATAGATGCATTAGAAATTTATTCACTGAAAACGGATATTTGGCTGAATAGCTCGTTAATATATTGATATATGTAACAGACTAACATTGTCATCAATTATATTGCTGAAACAATCGGTATACTCTGTTGAGAAAATTACATGAAAAGTGGTAAGAAGAAAAGGAGCTGATATGAAACTACTAGTAACTGCATTGCAACAAATCGTACTACAGACTAGACAAGGCAATGACCAGCATCAAGTATTTCCCATCAACTTTAGTGTTGAACAAAAACACAGAGATAATATAATTTTGTCGCATTAGTGATGCTCGTTTTGAGGTTCTTTAAAATATGTAAAGAAATAATATGTACAACAAATGCTAGTTTTATATTTGTGGATTAACTTCTCAAGCAAATGCCTCTTTGACTTTGAGTTTATTCAATTCTAGTCTGCCCGATTTCTTCATTAATCAAACAAGTTCTAATTAACATGTATGAAAAGCCTAGAATTATTGTTAGTCAATGCAATTTCAGTATCATTGGAGTACCATCCAAATGTTATTAGTATTTCTATTATCAGATTATTAGATTTAACAGTTACCTAGACCATTCCTCTTAAAACGTCTGTAGAATCTACCTCTACAAAATATCCCAGTAATATCGGCATAAAACTGCACAACTTACTATTCTCGAGTTTGTTTAGTGAAATATTTGAGCCATCAACTTTGTCGAACTGAAAAAATAAAAGTGTTCAATTGATTATAATGAAGGAATCATCAAATATTGTAGAGCATTTAAATATAGTAACTCGTATTAGTTATCGACAGTTTTGATAGATATTGGTGCGAAATATTAAAATGATTGGATTAATGAACACAAAAACACTCTAATTTTTTGCTTTTCGATTCAAAATGTTATTGATTAAAAAACTAAGAGAAATTAGCGATGAAAAACCTTTTTGATTGATATTTTACGATTTAGGAACTTACTGATAAACTCCATAGATATGTTAAAACCTATAATAGCATATTTTATTCCCTTATAGTAGATGTGCTTAGCCGTTGCACATATAAACCAAAACAATTATTAATAATATTCAGATCAAACAGTGTTTTTCTTTCACTGCTATCTTTAAAAGTATAATTTTGAATGCCGTTTTAATACATCAGTTCTCAACATATTAAACATAAAATGCAGAATTAATGTAAGTATGCGAACAAGCTCTTGATGTGATCATATCTGACGAAGGCCAGATATCCGTCTATCAATTAAGGAACGAATATACTGTGCAGCAGTTCGTTCTGTTTTACTTTACAGCTGCGAAACGTGACCACTAAGAGTGGAAGATACTCGTAAGATACTTGTATTTGATCCCAGATGTTTTAGAAATATTGCTCGAATCTGCTAGGATCACCGGGTAAACAATACTGAGGTTAGGCGCAGGGTATTGAGAAATGATGGTAAATCAGTTGATGAGGTTGTAAATCTTCATCGACTGAGATTGTTGGACCACGTGTTACGTATGCCTAAACACCGATTACCACGACGCGAGATGTTGACTAGTGTTGAAGATGGTTGGAAAAAAGTTAGGAGCGGCCAAACCAAAACGTGGCATCAATGCTTGAAGTCACTAACTTCTAGTCTGAGACATGTTGGTAGATGCAGAATACTTGGTTGGAGTCCGCGTGACTATCGTAACCGATAGTTGGAGACTCTGGATAACATGGCTCAAAATCAATCACACTGGAGTAGGTGTATACACTCTCTGTCTTCCCTTAAACCGTGAGACTAAAATCGCTTTCTATCTTTCTTTCTACCAACTAATTCTTTTTTCTTGTACAATATCCTTATATCCAATCTTTCTTTCATATATTGCTAACATTGAAGTGACTACTATGAATTCTGTGTTCATCTTGTTGTGCTAATGAGGTATGGCAACTTGGACTGATGCATATATGTGCCTGGTCCTACGTTGTAGCTGACTGACTGAATTGAACAAGGAGAAACACCATGACACCAACCCACTTAGATTAGTAGTTACATTGTAAGCTTAGCTGATTCAAATTCACGATTAGTAGTAATCACTTGATAACGTTAAACTTATTGATATTATGCAATGGTTACATGCAAAGAAATTGAATCTTATAATCTATACATTTTACAAATACTCTATAAAACAACTTCTTTAAACGTTTAATAAAAGTTATAGTAATAATAATATTAATATAAACAACAAATGTTGAATAAGGATAAGATATAACTGAAAACTTCTATCTCACTATTCTGGTGAAGAAAACCAAACAAACAGAAAGGTTACAACATGACGAGATATTGTTCGTTAGTTCCAGTTACATCAAAACTATATTTTTTACATAGCAACTACAAAATTTTACAAATTTAGCGTATTTTTTTTCACTATAAGAACAGAAAGCATTAAAAATACCAATTATAAAATCAGATAAAAATGCAAAGAAAAAGCAATGACATTAAATTGGACAGGCTTATTCAATATTCTAAAAACGAACAAAACAATACAATTGATTAAGCCATAAATAGCAATGGTAATTAATGTTCATAACATGAAAATTAAATAACATAGTAATCAATAACTTAATATTGAATAGAACTTTTTTTAAAAAAAAACTTACTTTCAGTTCATTGATATGATTTAAACTTTGAAGTACAAGAACCAACATTGCCAAACTTTGAACATCATGTATACGAAGGAAATGTCGAATCCTGTAATGAACAATGAACGTTTTTTTTAAGTGACAAAAAATAATTTATGAAAATCACAACAACAACAACAAAAACAACAAATAGAAACAACTGAAAATAAGAATAATTTGATTCAGATAGAAAAATAGTAAGTTCTGATTATAGACAGTAATCATAATTTTTTACAAAGTACATTTCATTCTAAGAATCCATTTGGCTTGGTAAATCAATATTAAGTAATAATTAAAACGGTACAATACAAAAGAAATGACTATTGTCAATTAGTAGCTTATAAATGATATTTCGCCGTTTAAGTTCAGGTTGGAGAAGAGTGAAAACTGACATCAATAATTTTCAAATACAACTAGCCAATAAAGTATTTCACCACTATGAAATTGTATGTCGTCAAAATATAATGTAGGCCGAATTCATTCATTCAAAGAAAGGAAGAACAAGAAGACAGCAATTAACAGCAGCCGAACACGAGCAGAAAAAGTCCAAGAACAGGCTGAATACATAGAAGCAAACAAACAAGTGGAAAAGAGCATTAGAGCCAACAAAAAGAAGTACGTGGAAGAACTAGCAACGACGGCGGAAAAAGCTGCAAGAGAGGGAAATATGAAAAAGCTTTACGATACAACGAAGAAACTAGCAGGGAAATACAAAAAACAAGAGAGATCAGTCAAAGACAAAGAAGGCAGGCCAATCACTGAAATTCAACAACAGCGGAACAAATGGGTAGAATACTTCGAGGAACTCCTGAATAAGCCGGCTCCAACGAATGCACCGGACATCGAAGCAGCACACACAGATCTTCCTATAAATGCCAATCCACCAACGACGGAAGAAATTAGAATGGCCATCAGACAAATCAAGAACGGGAAAGCAGCAGGACCCGACAATATACCAGTTGAAGCACTGTAGTCAGACATCGAAGTAAATACAAACATGCTTCACCTTATATTTAAAAAGATTTGGGAGGATGAACAAGTGCCGATAGACTGGAAAGCAGGACACCTCATCAAGATTCCAAAGGAAGGAGATCTGAGCAAATGCGAAAACTACAGAGGCATTACACTACTGTCAGTACCAGGGAAAGTCTTTAAGAGAGTGTTGCTGAACCGGATGAAAGACGCAGTAGACGCCCAACTTCGAGAACAACAGTCTCGATTCCGTAAGGATCAGTCGTGCACAGACCAAATTGCGACACTATGGATCATCATCGAACAATCAATTGAGTGGAACTTAACACTGTACATAAACTTCATTGATTATGAAAAGGCATTTGACAGTGTAGATGGGAGAACGTTATGGAAACTTCTTCGACATTACAGAGTTCCTGAGAACATCGTCAACATTATCAGTAACTCTCACAACGGAATACAGTGCAAGGTCGTGCATGGAGGACAGATGACAGATGCATTTCAAATAAAGACCGGAGTCAGACAAGGCTGTCTACTCTCTCCCTTCCTCTTTCTTCCGGTGGTCGACTGGATTATGAAGACCTCGACATCTGAGGGAAAACACGGAATACAATGGACAGCTCAGAATCAATTAGACGATTCGGACTTCGCAGATCACCTAACCCTCCTATCGCATACACATGAACAAATGCAGATAAAGACAGCCAGTGTAGCAGCAGTCTCCGCATCAGTAGGCCTCAGCATACACAAGGGGAAAACAAAGGTCCTCAAATTCAAAACGAAGAACAGCAATCCAGTCACTCTTGATGACGAAACTCTGGAAGATGTAGAATCCTTCACATACCTGGGAAGCATCATCGATGAACAAGGAGGTTCAGATGCAGACGTAAAGGCGAGGATTGGCAAAGCAATGGCCGCATTCCTACAATTAAAGAAGATATGGAACTCAAAACAACTTTCAACCAATATCAAAATCAGAACCTTCAATACGGACGTCAAGACAGTCAGTTCTACTGTACGGAGCTGAAACATGGAGAACCACAACAACCACTGTCAAGTAGGTACAAGTATTTATAAATAGCTGCCTACGCAAGATACTCAACATCCATTGGCCCGGTACCATCAACAACAGCCTTTTGTGGGAGAGAACAAACCAGCTTCCAGCTGAAGAGAAAATTAGGAAAAGACGATGGAAATATATAGGACATACATTACGCAAATCGTCAAACTGCATCACGAGGCAAGCTTTAACTTGGAATCCTGAAGCGAAACGGAAAGGAGGAAGGCCAAAGAACACATTACGTCGGGAAATCGAAGCAGATATGAAAAGGATGAATAACAACTGGAAGAAGCTGGAAAGGATTGCCCAGGACAGGGTTGGATGGCGAATGCTGGTGAGCGGCCTATGCTCCTTGACGAGGAGTAACAGGCGTAAATAAGTAAGTAAGAATTCATTCATTCATTAAGTGAGTCAGTCAGTCAGCTACAACGTAGGACCAGGCACATATATGCATCAGTCCAAGTTGCCATACCTCATTAGCACAACAAGATGAACACAGAATTCATAGTAGTCACTTCAATGTTAGCAATATATGAAAGAAAGATTGCATATAAGGATATTGTACAAGAAAAAAGAATTAGTTGGTAGAAAGAAAGATAGAAAGCGATTTTAGTCTCACGGTTTAAGGGAAGACAGAGAGTGTATACACCTACTCCAGTGTGATTGATTTTGAGCCATGTTATCCAGAGTCTCCAACTATTGGTTACGATAGTCACGCGGACTCCAACCAAGTATTCTGCATCTACCAACATGTCTCAGACTAGAAGTTAGTGACTTCAAGCATTGATGCCACATTTTGGTTTGGCCGCCCCTAACTTTTTTCCAACCATCTTCAACACTAGTCAACATCTCGCGTCGTGGTAATCGGTGTTTATTAATATAGACATAAAGAAAAAGATGGTATTGTACGAGGAGATATGAAAGGAAATTAAGCGACATCATAAAGAAGCTTCACAAAACTATTTATTTAAAAGAAATTATTTAGGTGAAAGTCCTTCTTCATTTTGCTTCATAGTTCTTTTAGGTCTTTCGCCTGTATCTGGAAACAACAGTTGTAAAATATACAAGATGATCCCATCGTATTTCATTAAGTTACCGTAATTCTGTTATCATAAAGAAGTTTGATTAGATTGAGAAATGGTCCATTTTCTTTGATAACAATTGTGTTTCCATAAGGCATAATTTCTAATTTTTCTCGATAACATATTATCGTAAACCCATTCTTATCAAAGTGATGCATAATACTAACACGTTAACAACTAAGTACATAGTAAGTAATATCTAACGAAATTTAATAAGTGGGAATAATGATTTTTAGGTATTATAATCTAAACCTTATTTACTACCAAAAGTAAGTACACACAGTTTTCATTCCTTTATCTTCAAGAGTGGCACACAATTATTGTCATTAGATATGGCTTTTCAGTCAGATATTTACTACATTTTAGATAATCACTAGAATCAATCAACTCATTTAGTGTCCAAACTCTGCGTTGCTTTTCTTTAAAGATTTAAATCAATAAACGGGGACTTTTTAAATTATCATAAGTATCTCTAAAATTATTGAAAACTACTTACCATGTATCAAATAACGGTCTACCAATTAATTGTGAAGCTAAAGGTTGATAAACTTGGTGAGAATGATCTGTGTGACTAAGTGAGATCGACATAACTAGAGCATATTGCCAGAACTAAGTTAAATGATGATAAAAACAAAGAAAACAGTAACATGCAAAAAGAAAATCTACGTAAATAAGACAAATAAATATATAAACTAAAGGAATCCTTTGAGCGTATTCAGATGGTGGCTAGAAGTGAAATACGAGATACAATCTCATCTTACGCGGGATTCATCAGCTAGATGCCCCGTGTTATTCACATGGAGACTCTAAACTAACACCTAACACACCTTCAAACGGCTTCCAAATAGGATGAAACACGTGCCTTTGATTCCACTGTTAACCACAATAAGAATATACTGAAAAACTATAGTTAATGACCAGTATTGATGCACTCGTTTATGGTAGATCTTTATGGTTAAAGATTGATCATTCTTAGTCAAGAAAATATTAACTATCACTAAGAAAAATTAATGTTTTAAGAAATAAAAAACGGGTGTAATTTTAAAACCAAGACCTTTTCTTATTAAAAATTTACTAACGATTAAGTATATCTACAGTCTGTACTCGTTATAGATTGGTTTCAGTTGTGTTACCATCAAAAAACCAAGTGGCGTTGGACTGCTGTTTCGACCTAGTAAGGGACTTCTCAGAAGTGAGCAACCACGAACCCTCCATCTATCGTACCTAGAACAACGAAGTATTGAGACATACGATTAACAATTGGAACCATTGCGTAGACATCCAATGATACAATCCTAACGCCAGTGAATTCGCGATTTAGAGCGGTGATCAACCAATGTTGTTGGTGGCGACTGTCTTATTCCCAACATGTTTGAACTCTACTACTCACGACTATTATTAGAATTTCAAGAGCATTTTGAAGTTATTAATTAGCAGAATATCACAGCCTAGTTAAAAGTTTTCATCAGTAGTACTGGATGAACTTCGTGATATGTTCCAAACTGATTGTATTTGGAGTTGTGCCATTAGAAGCCACGTCAGTGGTTTTATTGATTAAGAATTTGCCGGAAGATGTTATGGTCCTGGGTCTGATTCATGAAGGGTTTGTGGTTGCCCACTGCTGAAGGGATCCATACTAAGATAAAACAACTATCCCGAGATGTAACGAATACAACTTACTAATCAGATTGACTTCCATAAAACACATTTATCGATTTAAATACTACTTTAGTTATTTGTCACATCGTAACAATTTATAGGATGTTTGAGGACTACTTTAATTATATTGTTGTGCCTAAAATGGATAAATAATAAAGCTAGACAGGGTAACACATTGATAAGTTAAATTTATCTCTTTAAAACTCAGAGAATAACTTAGCATGGCACAACCCATCTGAAACTAGAACCTACAACACTTCGCTTTAAACATAAAGTCTTACTAACTAGATTATGAAGTTGCAAAAGTTTTATGTTTAATACAATCAACGGTAGTATTGATATGGTTGTATACAAAAGTAAAACATTACAAATTATTAATCAATTCAGTGTTATGAATCTCCGATTGAATGTTCATTTGAAGGAGATATTAGGATTTCTAGTTAAAAAAAACTACAACTTCAACGTTATAATCAGAAAATTAAAGTCCTACTGATAATGATATTAAAAGCATTACTACATTAAGAAATAAATATCGAAATTAAGAGATATCGGGGTAACAAACATACCAAGTCCTTATAACGTTTTTTTTTCTATCCAATTGAAGAGGTAAATAAAAGGAAAATATAAACATAAGTTTCATATTTGCTATCAACTATCAACGAAAATGTAAACTAATTCTTGACAAAACTCATTCGATCTATGATATTTAGGTTTATGTTGTACAGTACCGCTTCAATGACAAAAGTTATATTCAAACATAAAATAAAACATTTTAAAAGATGTTTCCAAGTTTAAAAAAAATCAGTTGTTGGATAACAATCTCAATATTGCTTGTTCAGTATCCGTGAAATGGCTCTCAAGATTAGAGAGCGAAATACAGTAAAAATTTGGTAACGGGATAGAGAATAGATTTACAGTTTGTGGATAGTGTGAGAAAATTTATTGGAGTAACGAACGCATAATTATGTATAAAATGAACAGGAAGTCTTTCACTAAACATAGAAAAATATAATAATATAAAGAACAGACTGTATGCCATAAGTAATACAAAATAAGTAAATATATGCTTACTCGAATAAGATCCTTTCGATGAGTATTATAAACTGCATGAAGATTGTGAATGCACATCTGTTGTAAATTTTCGGTGTTGAGGCTATATATATATATTTGAAGGTCAAGACAAATGAATGAATTATCATGGATTCATTAAGATAATATTTATGAAAAGAATACTTTACAAGTATAAAATCATAAAGCAGAAAGACAAGCTTTGAAATCAGTTGCACTGGAGTAGATGGATTTATTCCTTAACTAAATCTTAAGTTTAAGTGTTATTTCATGTATAGTGAACTTTGATTTCACTCTTTCTATGCTTATTTTTCTTAGATTATTAATAATATCCATATTTTGGCTAACTAGCTGTTCATATCTTAATGATTTCCTATTACTGTAGTAGACTGAAGTATGAGTACCTGAACTGATGTACATTTATACCACGTCCGATGTTGATTGATCACAAAGATAAATCTTTTTAAATAATGTTAGAGCAAATCAAAAGAAATTTTACAAAAACGCTCAATTATTTCTATATTACATACTGAGTTGAAGAATACAGACATAATTTAAGGTATTTGTTATAGACTAGTACAAACATACTATCTTACATATTATCAACGCTTTATTACTAACGTTTTGGTCAGACATTTTTGTTAAATAGGAAAACTGTAAATAACAATTGTAAACATAGAACACTCAAGTATTTTATTCAGATGTTTTAAGAGATAAGTTCGGTTTTACACATGACTCAATTTTGAATTACTCAATTTAATTGTTTTAAACACTTATAAGTGCTTTACAGTATAATAAATAAAGAAAATGAACGTATGTTCATCCGACAAGAATAATGGTGACAGGATATGATAAGTTAAACAATTAACAGGCAATATTTTTTAACACAAACTAATTCACCAAGTCATATGATAATTTCAATAAGAGCAAAATTCTGAAAAGAAAAGATTTATAACATAGTGAATAATAAACGACTCTCGAATTGAAATCATTCATTATAACAGTAAGAAGAATTTGAGAAAAGTATATCAAACAAGATATATTTAAATATAATCTTACGAACCTGTAATCATACATTAAATGCCGGTCCCAAATTAAAGGGCTCATGTCATAAATTTGAATAGTAGATGGATCTGTAAAATGAACATAATTAGAATTTTAAAGATTTACTCGAGGATAAGAAGTGTGAAGAAAATATTAAGAGAAATTTTATTATGAATTTGTCCACAAATTGATAAAAAAATCATGTTATTACACTTATCGGTACATACAGTTAGGCAAAAAGAATTTACTTGTGTGCAGTCACATTTGATTTATTCACTATTAAAATTAACTTTACGTTACTTTGTTTGCACTGGAAACATTCAGAACATATATTCCACAAAAGGAATGAAATAACCTTCGTTTTGCTCGGTGAAAAATTACAAAAGGGAAACCTGATGAGATGTTTTAGGGCTACAAGGATGTGCTTACATAATACTAAAAACAAAGAAGTGGACTTTATGCATAATATGATAAATTAACTAGGTCACCCACAAAGTTTTTTTGGGGAAGCATGTGTTTACAGTTAACAGTTAGTTAGACACAGACTGTTCTACATAAATCTCTTTACTATAAAGCTAAAATTTAATGGAGACGTAGCTAGCACTGTTTTATACAACAGACTAACGAAAACTGAGAATAGGACTTTTCATTCAGCTGATCGTTGTTCGCCACTTCCAAATCGACCACTGGTGATCGCTTAACTAAATAATGAGTTACCTGGTTTCTCTACCTTGATATGCATCTAGTAATTCAGCTACTCATGCGAAGAACTCATATTGGAAAGGGGGGGCTGCCAAACAGCCAGTTAACCAGCATCTCTCTCTCGTGGTTCAAAAAAAGGTTAGACTAGGTCATGGGCAACTCCAGTAAGTATATGATGATGGTCATTTGATAGATAAAACCAAAGTATTCAGTTATTTTTTGAATTTGTGGTACCACTGTCTCTATCTCACTAAATGTCTCTACCATTTGTTTGTTCATGTTTACCTTTTTCATATATCTTTTTTACTATTTGAATGCTTAAACTGATAATTACATAGTTCTTCTGAAGCAATTCTTTTAGGACCAGAGTTTTAACAAGTTTATTCTTGCAAGTTTATACATATTTCCGAAATAATAATTATTGTTATCTTACTCTTTAATGTACTTAGAATTAGTACAATACCTATCAACTTACTCTCAATTTATATTTTTCACTCATTATTACTAGTTATGCAATCTGTTTCTCAATGACTCGAGAAACCCCATGATTGCTTTATTATTTTTTACATAGACATATAAATATTACTGTATATTAGAATAGAGTGGTATGAAGATTTGGTTGAAAACTAGATTACTGACTTATATGTATTGTTTCAGTAAGAAGCAAAGAAAAAGAAGGATCTACTACTTATATTCTTCATCGATAATAGATCTTGATTGATGTGATGCTTCTTTTGAACATAAGCTAGTTATTAAAAATCTATTTGCGTTGTACGTGTACGCAGAACTAAAATGACTGCATATTTAGAAAAAGAAGATCAAAATATACTAAACTACATCTTATGGATGCATGTTTTTGTTTTAAAAAATGGTTAAAAAACACTAACTTTTGGACTTTTTTTCTTAAAATAACCAAAATAAAATATCAGCTCTTCCCCTATCCGTTAGGATAACTAGATAGAGATTATGAACCAAGTAATTTATTCTTTTACAAATAGAAGAAATAATTGATTGATAACCTCAACTAGAAATGTTTGTGAGCTAAACATATTGATAATTTAAGTTTTTGTATGTAGTGAAAGTTATTTAATATATGCATGTGTAGTAATGAAGAATCAATGTTTACTATACAACTTTCATTAAATATTTCATAAAGTGAATGCTACATGACAACTCATACTATTTTGAATACACACTAGGATTTTTATTCCGTGCATAATGTATAGTCAGTCAGTTGGAAAGTGATCCCATCCACTTTTGACTCCTATCAAGGTGGTAATTCATGATAAATAAATAGTTCGGTCATACCAATCATTCCAAAATTTCATGCATACAGTTACGACAATTTTTATATCCCATAAAAGTTGATTTTTCAAAAGTTGCGTAATGATCTCAAAGTTAATGAAATAAATTTAGATAACAAAAATTAGGGATAATCGACTACTTGACGAATAGGAAGAGAGTGAAAAAGAAGAAAAGAGAAATTAGAAAATGATAATTATTATTCATTATTAAGTATAAAAGAATGAAAGACAATACTAACAATTGACTATTATGTAAAATAAGAAGAGAAGTTAAATCTTTGGTGGAATGAAAGATTAAATAGGTTACTTCTGCGAATAGAATTTAGGTCTTAGTTTTTTTTAATTCTTATTCCTAGGTTCCGTGTAATTTCATTCTACTGTAATAATATAAACAGATGTAATTAGTTAAATATATCAAGAGATCTATACAAATGTAATTAATGACTGAATACTTCTAGGATAAATAATTACTGACAAGTAAGTGAATAAAAATCAATTATAGAAAATAATTAACATTAAATGATACAGGAAATATTGTTGCTTATGATAACGTAAAAACACATTACAACTATTACATATTTCTCCATATCAGTAATTTTGATAATACAATATGAAGGCGGTATAAATATAACTAAAATAAGTCGTCATCATTTAAGATAAATAATGTCAATATCGGATATATATATCCCTAGTTGTCGGCAAAGCTAAATTGTTAATCAGATATCATAGTAATAATAATAACTATAAAATCGTATCAATTTTCATTCATTTAAATATCTAAGTCATAATTTTTGTCATGATACACACCTACTTGAACACTCGTATATATATGCAAATGTAAGCTTTTATAAGAATAGTGTACAAAATTATTTTACAAGAAACTTCATTTGGAAATCCTATAATATATTATCAGTAAAACAGAGTAAATTTACAACAACAGAGAATAGCGTTGATGAGTAAAATGATGCGAAAATATGAGCTGATACGCCACTGTTAAGGTCAACTTTAAAATTAATATAAAACGTGCATATATACATTAGTCAATAGAGTAACAATAACTGCATTTCTTTTTAAAACAGATACATATTTCCTTCGATTTTCATATGTCAACTGTGATATGTATATGTAGCAAAGAAAAACAAGATAATAATATAAACAAACATGACTTACAAATCATACTGAAATGACTGAGGAACATTTCAGTTGGATTCTGGACATCAGGAGAGTTGGGATGTGTTGTTGAAATGGAATTGAACCATTTTTGTTCCGTCACACGAGCAGACTCAAACGAATTTTTCTATAACAAATAAAAATGGATAACAACGTTTTATGCACAACAAAATGCTCGACTAAATTGGCTTATTTTAATAATCATTAGAAGCTTATTTTATTAGTCATGACCCATTCACAATACGATCCACAATTCTTTTGATTGATAATGAAGTGTTTGGAATCAAGTTAACGTATGTTTCAAACTTCTTTCATGTTGAGAATGGTCAAATTTCCTAAAACAAACTGTAACACTAACAGTTTTCCGCCTAACTCTTTAAATTCTGTGTGTCTTTCTTTCTTATTTTAGTCAAATATGTTCAATTGTTAGTCATTTCTTCATCTAATGAAATTTTTTTTCAACCCGCTAGAAATACATGATAACTATTTAGAAAACTGATGATTATTATAAACAAGTAAATTTTCAAAACAAATATCGATTTCCTTTTGCAAGCTCATTTATTACTGTGTAAGAAAAGAGGATGTTCTCTACATTCATAGTTTATAGCATTTACTGCTAAGAGTATCGAGCCTTATGTACTGAAAAATTCGTACAACTTACAAAAGTAACACATTATAACGAATTTTATCCGACATAACTGAGGAATTGAAATCTCCGAGAGTTGAAATTTCTCACATCAATCATTCTGTAATATACTCCAAAACGTAATGAATAAATGATAAATGAAATGTTATATAATACATGCAGTCGACTGTACAAAAATATTACATAATGGTTAACAAGTAATAATAGAATTTTACGAGAAAAGTAACAATATAACATATAAGCTAGATTTACCTTTACTTCAGCATCATTAGCTGTTGAATTCATTGAATTTTCGTTAAGTTCTACATTCATTTTAAAAGATAACCTATTTTTGTCAATTAATTCAGTGATAATTTTCTGTTTTTTATGAGGTTGATGCTGCTGTCGTTGTTGTTCTTTACAATCTACCTCAAATCTAGCAAATGAATCAATTATATTTCCAATACAATTCTGAAATGATCTTCTCATATCATCATTATATTCACGATTTGCTGATGAAAATCGTTGGATAAATGTTTGATATTCACTAAATGATTGTGGTGTCCAATCTTTTTTTGTGTCATTATTATTATTATTTGTTAACTCTACTTGACCTTTATCATCTGATGAAGTTGATTTTATTGAATTACGTATAAATGACAAAGATTCTGGTAGACCGAATGTTACAATTAGACCATTCGTGGTAAAATGAACACCAGATGTTCTTGGGAAAGGAATACCTATTGTATAATGACATTTTTGTTTCATTGAAGCTGTTGTTTCAATAATTGGTTTGTTCAGTGTATCCATATTAGCATTAAGCATATCAAAATTAGTAGTAGATAAATTTGTTAAGTTTAATTTCTTGGAATTATTTTCTATCTACAATAAAATCAAAAGGGAAAAAACGAATTAAAAGTAAAACTGTGAGGATGAAGACGGTGGTCTATGACAGTAGCTGAGCGACTTTTTTTATATGAATACATTTTAGTAGTTATAACTCATTGTGTCCATAACATGATGGAATACAAAATGTTAATGAGTTAATTATATCCAAAACCGACTTCTTAAATTCTCCACAGATACAACACAATGTAGGGAAGATACTTACTTGATTACTTAACGTAGGATATGTTTGTAAAGTGATCACAGCATTTCGTATACATGGTTCAACACAACCACGTGAGGTGGACACTAGTTCAGATGCAGTTGAATATAAAACCTGATAACAGAAGAAAGTAACACAGTTACTAAAAGATTTTAAAAATACACCAATAGAAATGAGATAAAGGTTGAAAATATCTTATTTTGAGGAAGATAAAACACATAATTCACATTTTCCCTAAATGAATTACTTTCTGATAGTAATTAACATTTCGATGATAGTTGATTTTAATAAGCAATCAGAATTAAGCGAATCACATAAAACTACCTCTAACTTTTAGTGATAGAATAAAGAAATTTAGACTTAGACAAGTACTGAGAAAACTTTAAAAATCTTAGTAACTACGTGATGATAAATTGTAGTATATGTCTATTAAAATGAAGCTCGGACAATGATAAGAAATTCAAACTAATCAGTGTTGTAGGAAACGTGCTTTACCACAAGATATATCTTTTATTATGAATGAATCTGTGTAAAATGTCAAGTGATTACCTACTGAATATGTTGGTTGTTTGAATTACCATAATTAATGAACATTTGAATGCCATATTATGTGAATCAGCTCTCCGTTTCTATATGTATATAACTATCATTATCGATAGGAATGAGTTAAACGAACTAGACATACGACGAAATTTTTCCAAGATAGTTTAAAGTGTCAATCTGTTCTCTCTAAATAATTTCGATAGATATTTCTAAACATGTAGAATAAACAGCTTAGTTTCTACGTATGCTTAAAAATCAAGAAAATAAAAAAGTTGAATATCTTATTAGAATTAGTTTCTTTTTGTATTGTTTCACTGATTTTCATATTCAGAAAAAAAAGAAAACTTTATATTTTGAAATGAAATGCTAATAATTTGATCTGTTTTTTAATGATAAGTTGGAACTGTTTACTTTAGATCACTTAGATAAAGTCAAGAGAATGAGTTGAAATAATAAAATTCTCGTCAGTATAAATGTGTACAAATAAACAAAACTATAAAGAAACAAGAAATATATACTAAAACCATCATTTCTTCATAACTAATATTAAGAATATAAATAATATAGGAATATACAATATATTAAATGAGATATTTATTTAGTTGAACACACAAATATTGGTACAAGAGGGCACCAAATATATATGCGCCACACAAAGCAATGAGAATGGGAAGATAAAAAAGGTAAGGAGCTTAAAGGAAAAAAGAACAATAACGAACAGATTAGTGTAAGGTAGTGTAATAATAATAATAGGGGAAACGGAAAGGTACAATCAGAAGAAATCTTTCAGTTAAGGAAGATACAACCACTTTTTATAAAGAAAGTAAAAGAAGGTTACAGCAGGATCGCCACTGGCTTCTATTCTGAGCCATATCTGATAACGTCTCTAGCCACGGTGTTGCACCATCTCTAGGACCCCAGCCAAGGAGTAGTGAAGGACCAACGCAAGCCAGCCCTTTTCAGCTTTCTTTCATACCACGACACAATGTCACACACTGACCACCTCTCCGCTTCTTCCAACCAGTCCGAGTCGGCAAATAATGCACGACGTGGAATTCTCTGGGACGACATTCGTACATTTCCAAACCACCGAAGTCGGTGTTTCAAGATGGTGACACCAATTGCATTATTGTCTTTGTGCCCGAACACACGATGCCGAACCTCTGAATTACTAACATGGTGTTGCCACTGAATGTCAGCAGTCCTTCGGAGAAAGCGATGATCGAACACAGAGAGTCGTCTAACATCCTCAACTCGGAGTGGCCAGGTTTCACAAGCATAGAGCAAACTGCTCTCACCGACGTGTTGTAGATCCGACCTTTTACAGCCAGACTAACATCACGAAGGCGTCAAAGATGGCCCAGATTGGCATAAGCCGCTCTGGCTTTCACTATACGTGCATTGATCTCATCACTCACACCCCCACCGGCTCTTATGCAGCTACCCAGATACACGAACTTCTCGACTACGTCTATGTGTTCACCATCCAGAGTGAGTACAAGATTAGAATCCTGCCAGTCTTGTAGAAGTACTTTGCACTTCGAAGGTACAAAGCACATACCATACTATGGACACTGTTTGCCAACTGATTAGTGCGGATTGCATGGCTTGGGCATTATCGCACAGTAAGACAAACTACTATTATTGATCTTTAGTGCAACATATATAAGCGAGCAATATTGTTTTCGATTAGATCCTCATCAGGATTTACTCTAATATACAGTAATATTCATATGCATATACGAAATTATTAAACCAATCAAAGTAGTTAATGAGTCAACGATAACGATGGGAAGGACTACATAATAAGTGAAAAGTACAAATTGGTAGTGTGATGACAGGTGTACTAGTTGTCATAAGAATAATAAAGGCTTAAATCATTGTTACACAATAGGAAATAGGTCAATGATTAGAAAAATATACAATGCGATAACATTTATAAAAAAATTATAAGATTATTGAACTGTGTAGAAAAAAAACAATGATATTCACATAGTGAACAGATAATCTCTTACAGTTTTAATTTACAAAAAAGTAAGTCATTTAAATTCCTGTAAAGTTGAAATATTTTTTAGTCTTTCAGTTTTAACGTTAATATGACAATTATTACTAACGGATGTTTAAATGTTGAAACATTGGAATAGTAATTAAATAATTTAATTTTTCAACTAATAGGTACTAGGTAGCAGGTTCAAATTTCATTACACTTAATTTGGTTTGAGCAGACGAATAGTATTAGTAACCCATATAACCTGAAATCCAGTGTATAAAACTGTACTTTATTAATGAAGTAATCACAGAAATATGGTAATTGGTGTTTGGATTGTCAATGTGAGTTTCGTCTTCTGCTTAATATATATTACATACCAATGAGTATTTATTTTATCCGTTGGGAATTGAAGCAAGTATTTTTTATAACAAACGACAACCATCACAATTTATTATTATTAACAAACATTGATCACTGTGTCGAGTGGTTTTAAAGTATACCTAATTGGTTTCAATTTAAATGTGAGCATACAAACAATAACTAACATTTATGTACGATTAGCTGAACGCCACAAAAATAAAATAAAAAATGTATTCCAGAAAACACCGCTAACAGTAATCAAAAATACTACAACAATATCACTAAGACAATCTTTAAAAGAAAATAGGAGAGAGAGAAACAGAGGGGATTAATAGAAAAAAACTTACATCCTTTAATTCATCTAATACTTCTGGAGGTAAGGGTGGACTGCAATCAAGTACATGAAATTCTGGTATAGCTCCATTTAATGGATAATTATCAGGGAATTCTATACTTAATATTATTGAACCAGCTAATGGCATTTCATAGTTATGTGTATTGTTAGTCGTCGAATTTTCTAATTCATGACTATTATCAAAGGTTAAAGTAAATGGGTGATTTGATGGATAATTTGTTAAATGTGTACTCTCTTCATTATCAACACTAACAGCACTATTACTAATGCTAGTCCGATTCGATATTGTACGTTCAGTATCAGTTGTTGATGATAAATTACGATGGTGTGCTTTCCAAAAATTTGAATGTTCAGAAAATTCCATTTGTGAAATTAGGTCAGCAGTTGGAGGTAATAGTAGACTATCAAGACCTTCATTATTCATTACAGAACTATGACGTCGTCTTCGAAGTGTATTAGTTACTGAACATAATGAATAATGATGATGATGATTGCGACGACAGTAAAATAAAATTAATTTAGCTGTACGATTGATAAGATCCATTTCTTCTAACTTATACTAAAGATACACAAATAAAAGATATAAACAACAATATAGTTCAAAAACTATTAACTAATGGTTACAATAAAAGTTTGAACTAAAAAAAAGTGTTAACACGTTTCATAAATCCAAAATGATAAAGTCCCTTTTAATTTGTACACATGAAATGTTTGCATAAATTTGATGAATTTCGAATTTCATTGATCTGATGAAGTAACTAATATTGAAAATTTGAGGGATATATGATAACATTGAAGTCGTGCAAAACAAATACATATTGACATATAATGCGAATGTACAGTTAAAAATCATTTTATAACAGATATAGTTAATCGAAGCAATTGTATTACCGTATAAGATTTTAATTACTGCAGTTTCAGAACAAGAAAACTATAGTTTTATGGATGGTATACAGCATAGATTAATGAAAAAACTCCTGTTTTATAGTGTCAACACTACTTGAAAATTAACATTTTCCTATAAGTTAGAACCATGTTACACAGTTTTCATATATAAATAACCGTGAAAACAACAAAGAATTATGTCATTAGTTATTCTTTAATATGTTACAACTAGTAATTAGCTATCGCTATTTTGTATTATAATCAATGTGATTGAGTGTAAGCTATTAAAACTAGTTTAATTTGTTAACTTTGGTTAGCGTATTTTTAGCAATGTTGTTTACTACGAGATGAGGATGCTGACCTCATGGCCAACCCTCTTCCGTTACCCGAGCTTGCAACCGGCAGTAGCCCTAGAACAGCTATAGGCGCCGAGAATCGAAAACAGACATCAAAAGTAGCTTCCAGAAAGGATTATACATGACAGAGTTCAACAGAGAATGCTGATGGGTGGCCAATCCTCCTCTACAAGTGGGTAACAGGGGTAAGTTAATAAAACTAGTCTAACAAGCTAATATAATTTTAGAAAACATATTCACGTGGTGTTACGGTAAAGATAAGGTTGCAGACGTTATTATATATATATATATATATATATATATATATATATATATATATATATATATATATAATAAGTATTGCAAAAATGTAATTTTCAGAAAGAGATAAATTTCTAAAAGTACCAAACATAGTAATTTCAATAATAATCATTACTTCAAAATGCTAAAACATAACTGGATTAACTTTAATCAATTTTCACTTTTTTTTTCTAACCAAATGTCGTTTAATTAAATTTATCATAGGAATTTATGGAAATATACTTTTTAAAAGCGGTAGGCGGAGAATTTTCACTGTCTACTAAACGTATTTGCAAAATTAAAAGGAACGTTTTACAAGAGATGAATGTCAATTTTTATGCTTTTAGTTGCTACGCTGAATAGTATATTATATATGTATTATATCAACTATGGAGACATACACATTGATAAATTATATTTCATCTAACAATGTAAATTTGCTTTTAAAAAATACTATGTGTATTATCGATATGCTTGAATAATTTACAGTGTATAATAAATAAATTTAAACCGTTATTACCCAATACATCCTGATCATTTGATAAATTTTAATAAGGTGAGAACAAAAAGATATTCAGAATAAAATGAATTCATTATATTTTCAGGCTTTTCATAAGTTATAAACGGCCATTATTTTTATTGATATAAAGTGTATGATAATGGACTTATTTGTGGAGCTGACACTTAGTGATTTCAGCCAATAAATCAAAGAACGTGAAACATTGAAGCAGCTGCTGAAGTACAAAAACGCAAGGTTTAACACATTGACTACCTATAGACTAGTACATAATCCTGTACATGGTTGCTAAGTTACAATTTTGTCTTCAATTAGCGTAGATATCCCATTGAACGAAAAGATTTGAACGAAATATAAAACATTATTCATGCTAGTAATACTAATGGTTATAACGCAACAATATGATAGGGGCGAATTATTGAAATTGTCGAATAACTAATGTTTCAGTTGGTATAATTACCATAATAATAACAACAGTAATAGTAATAAAGTATAAATATTAGTTCATTTACTTTCTACTTATTTAACAATAAATAAATGGTAACAGCAGCAAATGAAAAATTGACATTTAAAAATGTATATTAATAACATCGATAAAATATCATGACTGGATTTACATATGATGTGTAATGCTAATTACTGTAATTAATTTTATTATACTGTTTCTTTTCTCTTCTCTTCTGAATACTGACAATGAAATACCACAAATTTTATGACTAAAACCCATAGGGAAGGGCAAACAACAAACAATGTAGGAAATGCTGTAGTGTAGAGAATGAATTCCCCAGAATTCACATCTGTACATCGACCTTGATGTAGGGCAGTTGGAGATAGTCATCAGGAAATTCTGGTCTCAGTTTGGTACTAGTTAGTACATGTCACTAAGGCATACCTGTAATCATAAGGGAACAGATTGTTCTTCCTAGTGCATTCGAATTCGGGTAACCCAAGTTCAGTCTAAAAGGTTATTATCGAAATATTTTAATCAAAACGGAATAGCTGTAAGACAGATATTTGCATTGACTGATTACTGCGTAGAGCTTACATGAGAATACTATCGAACTAACCATTTGCCACCACTCAGTGAACAACCATCGTACGTATACGGACTTTGATATCGTACATTTTTTTAGCTATCCTTACTCAGAAGGGCATTCGCAAGTACGAAATGTTGTATGAATATCGTATAAGCATCTATCGTTTTACTATTCACAGACTGTTGCAGTGGTGGGCGACAAAAGCAAAAGAGATGGAAAAGGCGGCGGCTATAGGAAACACAAGACAGCTCTACAGACTAATAAAAGAAACTGGGATTAATAAACAAAGTGTAAGTCAGACTATTTCGGAAAAAGACGACACCCTCATCTGCTCTCAGTCCAGACGTTTAGAATGATGGGCGGAACATTTCAGAGAACAGTTCAACTGGCCTTCAGCTACTCCACAACTACCCTCCATTCCCAGACAGCCCAGACAGGTCCCCCAACTCTAGCAGAAGTTCAAAAGGCTATAGTTAATCTGAAACGAGGAAGGGCAGCTGGTCCAGATGGACTGGCTCCAGAAGTCTTTAAGGATGGTGGTCCAATTTTAGCGATTAGGTTGACTAATATTTTAGCTAAGATCTGGGAGTTAGACGTTATCCCATCTAACTGGTCACAATCACTTATCGTCCCAATATATAAGAAAGGGTCAAAATCATCCTGTGACAACCATAGAGGGATTAGTTTAACTAATATAGTATCTAAAATACTAGCCTCGATAATTATCAGACGCCTAACTAAGACTCGTGAACTGCAAACACGAGAGAATCAAGCTGGCTTCAGACCTGGTCGTGGCTGCATCGACCACATATTCACCATTCGTCAGGTTCTAGAACATAGGCATACTTATCGGCGTCCGACAATTGTGGTCTTTCTTGACCTAAAGGCAGCATTTGACTCCGTAGACCGCGAGATTCTGTGGCAGTGTCTGTCATTGAGAGGCGTACCTCAGAAGTACATAAACCTTGTGAAGGCTCTTTACTCGAACACTACCAGTCGAGTCAGAGATTATGGCGAACTGTCATCTGCTTTTGCAATCTCAAATGGTGTCCGTCAAGCCTGTCCACTTTCTCCACTTTTGTTTAACTTCATCATAGACCTGCTGATGGAAATAACATTCCCGTCTACTGAATTCTCGGGTATTGATCTCCTTCCATGAGGTCCACTTATCGACTTAGAATACGCAGATGATATAGTCCTGTTTGGTGAAGACGCTGACAAAATGCAGAGTCTTCTGTTACAACTAAGCAACAATGCCAGAATGTTTAGAATGCACTTCTCTCCCTCGAAATGCAAGTTGTTGCTTCAGGACTGGTCTGCATCAACACCTGAACTAAGAATAGGGAGTGAAGTAGTCGAACGCGTTGACAACTTCACTTATCTTGGAAGTCTGACCAGCCCTAATGGGTTGGTGTCTGACGAAATCTCTGCATAGATTCGAAAAGCTCGTTTGGCTTTTGCCAACTTACGTCACCTGTGGCGAAGGCGAGATATCCGTCTATCAATAAAAGGATGAGTATACTGCGCGGCTGTCCGTTCCGTTTTAATTTACGGCAGCGAAACATGGCCATTAAGAGTAGAAGACACCCGTAAGCTATTAGTATTTGACCACAGATGCCTCAGAAATATTGCTGGAGTCTGCTGGGACCACCGGGTAAGTAATAGTGAGGTTAGGCGCAGGGTATTAGGGAATGATGGTAAATCAGTTGATGAGGTTGTAAATCTTCATCGACTGAGATTGTTGGACCACGTGTTACGTATACTCCAACACCGATTACCACGACGTGCAATGCTAACCGGTGTTTAGGATGGTTGGAAAAAAGTTAGGAGCGGCCAAACCAAAACGTGGCATCAATGCTTGAAGTCACTAACTTCTAGTCTGAGACATGTTGGTAGATGCAGAATACTTGGTTGGAGTCCGCGTGACTATCGTAACCGATAGTTGGAGACTCTGGATAACATGGCTCAAAATCAATCACACTGGAGTAGGTGTATACACTCTCTGTCTTCCCTTAAACCGTGAGACTAAAATCGCTTTCTATCTTTCTTTCTACCAACTAATTCTTTTTTCTTGTACAATATCCTTATATGCAATCTTTCTTTCATATATTGCTAACATTGAAGTGACTACTATGAATTCTGTGTTCATCTTGTTGTGCTAATGAGGTATGGCAACTTGGACTGATGCATATATGTGCCTGGTCCTACGTTGTAGCTGACTGACTGACTGAGATTGTTGCAAAATTACTGCATTTGGTAATTAAACAATGTTAAACTACTCAACAATGAACAAGTAAAAACAGAGAAAAGAATATCACCGCAGACATTCTCTACGAACAAGCTGGTAACCGTGTTATCCAAGAAATCTGTCTGTACAATAATGGCTCGTGCGATGAACGGGACAACAAGTTATTCGGGTTCCTCACAAATAACCCTTTATATGTACCATAGACGATAAGCACTTTATCAACGGAAGAATAGATTAATTATTGTTGACTTTGTCCTACATTTTCCACTCCAGTCATCTGATGCATTCATTTCAACAAAGTAATATCATTTATCATTTTTCCGTAAGATTTTACAACTGGAAACACCGTATAAATCAAGGACTACAACTGACAACATCAGTTACAACTATATAACAATATCAGTTTTTTTAATTTTTTCGACAACACACAGAACTGTATCTAGTAAATTAAGAAATTAACATTTGTAATGGTTAGATTTGACATTATAATTCCATATAAAAACCAACAAAAATTTCATTTCGATCATTATTAGTTGCACCAACCAAAACATTTGTTCAATGTTCATAATCTTTTAACCACATTTTTAAATGTTTAAAGGAACGAGTCATTCGTATAAAATCTGAAGTGTAAAATATTAGTGAATTTATGTTGTGAAAAGTATAGCAATGATATGAATTAGATCTAAAGAATATATCAAGTAATAAATATAAACTTACTTGTCCAGCTCTATGGCTTAACAGAGATAGTTCTTGAGCGAGAAATTGGAATGCACTATCTTCTTGATTTCCACCTACAACAACAAGAAAGTCATATATATACATAAATCATTATTATACTTTTCAAAAAGCTTTCAAGCGATTGTAATAGTTCCAGCAATCAATTTGGTTAAAAAAATTAAAGACATAGTGATGTCTGGGCCAATGTTCAACAAAGAAAAGCAATAAATATGTTGATTTGTTGCGATCAGATATAAATAACTGGTTTGTCTCATTACTAACCTAACAAAAAAATGCTATTTAGCTGACTCCATGGACGGGATCTCTGAAAACAGCTTTCTGGAGGATCTCGCACTAATTTATTGAGAAACATATTTCGACAGTGTTCATGAAACATTTAAATAGTACAATAATGTATTTTTTAGTGAATGTAAAACATATATGTAAATTTCCTTAGAGCCCTCCTAGAGTTAATACTGGTCCCAAGCCCTGATAAAGGAGGTTTAGAGAAAAGGTTGATAACTCCATCCCGTAGAAAAAAACCTTGCCAAAAAGCGCAATTGTCTCTAGATACCAGGAGGTGTTGCACATGAACTACTGAAATTTTGGTGCGATTTAAAGTTTTGAGACATACTTATTTGAAAGATAGTAAAACTACACGAGTTCCAAACGGAAGTGAAATGGTAGTCAAAATGGTTGAATTTAGAGTGTTTTAACCATAAATTCACTACTTTTGGGAATTATTAGCACCATAGTACAAAAAATGAGCATTGTGAGTTATACTACTTCTACAGCTAATAATAATAATAATAACTATAATTATAGTGATGATAATAATAATAGCGATGATGATGGTGAGAATCTACAAACAGCATTTATTTTGGGAGTGCATCAGCGAATTTATTTTACTGACAAATTTGAGCAGGAAAAACAGTATATATAATCGTAAAAGTTAATTCAAGAATGAAATGAAAAAATCAGTTTGAACAGGTCAAACAAACTTATTTAGTATTGAAATACTTATAAAATTTCTTTTTCATAGTAGAAATATATGTTGAAGAATTAGCATCATAACATACATTTAGGATCTGCATTCAATCCACTTTTCGAAATAGATAAACATGATTTGGAGAAAGAAGAACGTTGGCCAAAATCTTCACCACGATGTTGCGGGTCAACAACCTGCTTTTTTCAACATAAAAGAAAATGATCTAAATAAAACTAATCAAATTGAGATTGATAAACGTCAGACTGAAAGAAACTTCGAATTGCGTATATCATTCAAGATGTAATTGAGTTTAATATAGTTTCTGACAACTAAGCATTCCTTAGTTGTGAAGTGGTACCGGTCAATATACCGATCGAGATGGAAGATCCGTGTTTCATAGTAAAATATCTAGTTTTTCTACACAAACACATTGTTGAAAACCAAATAAATTCGACTATAAATCACCAGTGAATGGGATCAAACAAGTTTAAAATAAAACTGTGTTCTAATGGATCACGTTCCTTGGTGCGCTAAGTAAGTTAGGATTTCAGCTAAAAATGGTTGCATTCATGCTTGGTGCTAACATGAATTAGTCAGTCATAACCAATGTAGTATCTGTCATAAATTCGCGGCAGTAAACGTTTCCATATCATATCATCAATGCAAGACGGAATTATCAAGACAAAATAGCAACAGTTAAGATAGCGATAGTATCCACTGATGGCTTTTTTCGACAACATATTTCTACTTCAGTTAGCATTGTAAATTGAGGTAGGAGGTGGTTGGGCATAAGTGACACATTTCCAACTTTTATGGTCGATAAAAAATTCCCAGATTAATTAACCGACTCACAATCTTTGCCTGATGTTATTGTAAGTTTAACCTTACAATCGGTCAGCCTATTATTCTATTGCATACGACTAACAGGACAAAGACACTAATATTAAAACATTTTACATGTATTCCTAGTAAAAAATTTCAAAAAGGCTGGAATATTATATAAAGGAAATCAATATTTGGTAGAATTGTAACCGAAGTAATTAACAAACACGTGGACTCTGTTGAAATGTCTTAGAATTAATTTTTAAAAAGGTCTATTATAAAAAGAATATTAAACATTGGATAAAGTTTTCCTAACTTCTTAATTTAACGGTAAGTAGATTATTAACAATGTTAGACCTGGCACAAATGTGGATCAGTTCAAGCCATAGCACTTTTTATAAGTAAAACAAGAAAAAATCAGCAGCTTGAGAAGTAAAAAGATAGAAAATTGCAATATAAAAACTGACCTGGTCACACTTATCTCAAAGTGTGAAGGCTGAGTTAACAAATACAAAACTACAGAAACGTTAGTATGATTCATTAGTATAAGTTTACTTTCCAAAAACTGTGTAACAGTGTTCTTAAAGAGTCAAAAAATAATTTATTAACCAAATGGAAACATATCTAAATGACTGTATAAAGTAATAAAGATATTCGTTTTATACTCAATAGTGAATAAATTGATTAAGATTAGCTGAATTATAATTTCCCGTGTTATTATGATGTAACTATATTCTACTAGTTACATAGACACTGTAGAAAACATGCCTTGCTTTTGAACTTCTAGATGTTTATCAATAATTATCTTTGAAAAACATGATGTTTTGTCGAACAATATATAGTTAATTACACAATTATACAAATAAACATAGATAACCTTTAGTTTATTTAAATTGTTTGTCGAAGTATTACTAAACTTCTTTGATTGATTTGTCTTTGGATTGAAATTCGTTGATAATTTATCATCTAATAAATCTTCTGATTTTTCTTTTATTATCCTTGTTTGTTTATTTGCTTGATTTGATAATGGTTCATTATCATGATGTGAAATTGATTTAAAATGAATTGGATAAACACGAAGTATATTATCCATTGACCAAGTAAGTAAATGTACATTTTCTAAGTATAAATGTAAAAGAAACAAAATGAATTAAGCAAATTTATTATTATTGTGTAAGACAAATAAATTTTGGTAAGTAGTTTGATTTGGATTCAATTATTAAATTAGTAACCTACAACATAAGATAAATGCTAAACGGGAGTGCTGTAAATGAAGCACTCTCAAAGATATTTAAGTTAATAAATTTAATTTAATAACAAACAAAACTATTAACCTGCTTTGAAATCGATTTCTAGAGTTTAAGTAAGAAATTGTAACTAGAGGACAGTATATCCATTTTAGAAACAAAATAGTATTTGTTATGTGATATCGTGGATTGATTGAATCCAGAAATATGGATAACTGAATGTAAACTTATTTGTTTAAGTAAATTATGTTCATCATAAGATTTGAATGTACTGTATATTGGTAATATTCATAGATGTGAACCGATAGTGAAACACAACTGAAACGAAACAGCTTTTTCAAATGATATCACTTAATAACATAACTTGTCAACAAATGCAAATAATTTTCCTTGAAAAAGCTTGGACCAGATTGCCAGGCGAAACGTTGGATTTACTTCAAATTCTTTCGCTGAGGTTTTACAAATACCTTCTTCCTCATTATTGTCTCACATTAACTCGGCGCCCAAATATTGTGGAAATGCAAACAGTTTTTGTAAATTACAGAAGTAAACAACAATATAAACGTCGTAAACAGAGAAGAGAATCAAAAGGAATAAAAATGATTTATATTGGGTATCGAAAGAAATAATGAGGAAAATTAAAATGCTTGAAGTTTGAAAAAAAACAACGGTAAGAATTAGAAGGATAACAGTGAAGCAAAAAAAGAAATAGTAACCCAACCAAAAACTATAATTACAATGTAGCTACATGATTTGTTAAAAAGGATGGGTTTTTTTTTAGTTGACATGATTCTTGTCACACATACACTTAGCTTGTCCTTATTTTCTAAATACTTTATGTATAGTTCTTTTTTATACTGCGTTTAAAAAAAATATGTACTATGTGTTTGAATAAATAGACTGGATAATAAGATTGCATGAATGGTAACAGTAGTGATTATCCATTGATTAATTGCATAGGGCTCCATTAAGAAGCATGTCTCGAAAGATAGATAAAAATATTTATGAAGTGAATAGTAATTAATTAACTATTATCAATACAGTTAATCATATCTGTTAGAATGATTGTTATATTGTTGCTTTTTTAAAAAATGCAAAAATTAGAAAAAAATTCAAAGTGATCCATTAAAACAATGAAAACTAATCAACTAAAAAAAAAGAACATCTACACTTTATTTGAAATTAATTTGACTTTTGATAAATCAAGGAGAAAATACAAATCATCAAAATCTAATTAAGTCGATGACATTTAGTTATTACAAATGAAAATTTCAACTAAACTACTTGTTAGGAACAGTTACAGATTACTTCTGATTATTAATGTTAACTTGGTCTTGAACAATTGTTACTTAATGCCTTATTTCTTTTATTATTGGTTTTGATGAAAAACATAATTTTATCAATATTGTAGTATCAGATGGGTTTTGTGGATATTATAATAATTTCAATGGTTAAGATCAAGAGTCAGTTGAAGCTAGACCACCATGGAAAACCTGGAAGCACTGGACGACCGTTTCGTCCTATTGTGAGACTCCTCAGCAGTGCGCATCCACGACCTGCGAGATTCGAACCCAGGACATACTGGTTTCGCGCGCGAGCACTTAACCACTAGACCAATGAGCCAGCATCCAACGGTGTTAATGTCTAACTTCAACTAGTAGTAGTAATTAATAAGGTTACAGTTTGATAATCTATAATTTCAAGTTAGTTATAATAATCAGATAATATTGCTCAGATTAGTTAAAACCATGATTTTATATTTACCGGATTAAAATAAATTTTTATATATGAAACAAATAAAACTTTAAACAATAAAGAGAAACATTAATAAGTTTGATAATGGAACTTACAAATGAGTACTCAAGTGGAAACTGTCAACTACATTAAACATATGTAGCTAAACGAAAGTATAAAAACTAACCTTAGATGTTAAAGAACGATCGTTTACACTCTACTTATATTTGTGCCACATGAAACAGTACATAGAGTTGAAGGTAAATGAATTTCAGAAAACCATACAGATTTTAGTAAAGGATTTTCAACCTACACTAAAGCTGTAGAGTCAATAAACTATTTTTATTCACAGGCAATGTCAAGTATACCACACAGTAAAACATTCTATACTAATGTGTGACTGAGACGTGATAGTTGACGTTGAACGAATGAAGGTTACATTTGCGAAATATTCTTTGGATTTGAGTGAATAACTAATGTTATAAGAACATTCAATAGGAACTGGTAGTATTCTCACAGCCATGAATGTTTTCGTGTGAAGTTGTGAATACACAATGGTTGAGTCAGTGATATGTGTTTTATATGTGTATCTACACTCTAAATTTAAATAATAAATAAAGTAAAATGGATCTATCATGGATAGAGTTGCAGTAAGATGAAATTGTACTAATTCACGAAATGAATGGAACTGGTAAACGATCATTTTAATAGACGGAGTTCAATCAAAGGCATAAAGCGCTGTTTGTTGAAAAAGCCAACCATTAAATTAAGTGAATTCGTAATATTAAGTGATAAAGTGGTTGAAACATTCGAGTTTTAAACAGTAGGGCGAAGATTGAGAATAACTTTCAAGCAGTTCGGATTGGATAGCCGGATAGTACCGTTAGCCTTGAAATCCAAAGCTCAAACAAAGCCTAGTGCACAAGAATGTATACTAAAGTATATAAAAAGTGTAATTTGATTATTGCTTAACATATACACATATCAGATAAAAAAGAATAGGACAGCCTAAAAAATAGATGTAAAAAGAAAATAAGATATTCCTTCACACTAGATAACTGTAAACAATAAAAAAACTATTAACGTTAAAAATTTTCAATATTCTATCTGACAACATTTTATAACTCGATTGATTGATTATCAATAACTTGAAACATTTTCCAGTATAAAGAAGAGAAAAACAGAGTACACACTAACCGTTAAATTGAATAGAATAGTATAAAACACATAAAATATTATTGCAGCATAAGGCCAAAATGATATATATATATATATATATATATATATATACTGTTAACTCAGTTATAAATAAAAACGACATTTCGTGGCGTATTAAAATACAACTACTTATATTTCTAGACCCTATTTTTTAATTATTGCTGAAATTGTCAGTACGGGTGTTGCAGAGATTATTAAGTTTTTGATTGAGATCATAAACCGATTGATGTAAGACCACCATTGAGAACCTGGAAGCACTAGACGGCCGTTTCGTTCCATTGTGGAACTCCTCAGCAGTGCGCATCCACAATCCCGCTCGCGGGATTCGAACCCAGGGACTTCGGTGTCGCGCGAAAACTCTTAACCTACTGGATGATTACATATATGTAGTGAATATTGAGTCACATTAAAATTATGGGGGAATAAGAAACAGATTTACCGTTTCCATCATATGAACAGTAAAGAAAACAGTAACAATAAAACTACTATGAACACCATTTTGATAACATAAACAGAAGAAATTGATAACAACAACAAAAATGATATAAAACGATTTATTTATTTATTGACGTACTTTTAGGACAATATTCTAAATTTTGATTTGCTGTCGATATTTCATTATCCAGAATAAAATTTGTCGTTAATTCATGATCATCTTTCGTTGTCAGTGGAGAAAATGGGAGATTTGAAGAGGAGCATATCAACCAATTCATATCTAATATATATGAATCTGTAGAACGTGGTTGACAAATCTGCTGATCATTTATGTGATTATTATTACTATTACCATTATTATTGTTTGAATTCACTATACTATTAGCAGACGTTTTATTGACAGTAATTTCATTGTTATTAGTGTCACTATTATCATGGCTTTCCATGACTTGGAATAAATCATGAGATTGTGTCAAACCAGCACTAGACCACACAGATATCCCGTGAACTGACCAATGAGACTGCTCCGGTAAAATAATAATATGATCACCTGAAGGCTAGAAAAAAGAATACATAGAAATATTAGTAATAGTAACAATAATAACAATAATCTTAATATGTATAATATAAATAAAATAAGAAAAGGTATGACTAAAAACTTGATAAAAAGCGCTTACTCAGGGTAAAATAAAAAATGGTGGAGACTATACATAGAACAGCAGGTATTATATTATTTAAAACAATAATGGTCCGTTGTGAACATGTGATTTACAGATTTGTAGCTAGGTAAAAGCTATTATACTCGGTTTGAACCAAACTTTATATGGATGTCAAAAATGAAGTGGTTGGATATTGATTTAAAGCACTACCTAAACTGTTGTCAGTCCTGTACTTCAACCTTCAAGTCATCGCACAACTAAGGGGTATTATATAAGCTTATATGGTTGATATTCACACAGGGTGCAACAATCTCAAGCAAACTCTTTATAAACAAGTGGTATAGTAAGTTTCTACGACTGTAAAGGAACAATAAACAACTATTTACATGATCGCAAAGTTCTGAAAAGCTCTTATTTTGTACTTCATGAATTCAATCGTAACCAATACTCCACTTGTCTAAAATTAATTCTCATTCGTGAACTTTATGAGAAGTATTTGCTATAAATTCACTAAAGTTAGTATCAATCAAAACCAGGGAGCACTGGATCGATGTTTCGTCTCGGAATCTACCAGTCATGTAATATCATTAGACTGCATACAACAGATGTTCATCGTGAAACTACAAACAATACAGACGACAAATTAAGTAATTAGTTAATTATAAACTTACAGTATAAATTACTTTCTTCAGTTTTATTTCATGAAATCGGACCTTTTTCAGAGGATATGAAGGATTTTCAGTATCCCATAGACGCATTTCAGAATATTCACTGACTGTCACCATTTGATTGACATTCTGAGGCGACCAATCGAAATCACGAAGGTGATCAGCTTGTACAGAGATGTACTGTTCTGGAACATTAGACTGAGTTTAAAATGCATAGGAAAATGGTTAAAAATAGTTAACAAACCGTTTAAATAATAAATTATTGTACGGAACATATTAACTGTATGCAAACTAATCCTGTACATAGGTATTCGGGTCTGGGACTACAGGATGGGAGACCAAACAACTCCGAACAAGTTCAAATTTTTACGCTTCAAAATAATGCAGAAAAAGTAAAACCTAATGGAAAGCTAACAGGAACGATATAGGTTGTTAACGAAAAAGGAACCCATGTTTATGGAATATATACGACTAAGGAAATGAAAAGTGAACATATTTGTGTCACTAGGTTTATTTTCGTTCAGTGAGACCCACAGTTTACAACCTATATTTTTCATAACTATTTTGACAGATGCATTCCAAGTAAAGACCGGAGTCAGACAAGGCTGTCTACTCTCTCCCTTCCTCTTTCTTCCGGTGGTCGACTGGATTATGAAGACCTCGACATCTGAGGGAAAACACGGAATACAATGGACAGCTCAGAATCAATTAGACGATTCGGACTTCGCAGATCACCTAACCCTCCTATCGCATACACATGAACAAATGCAGATAAAGACAGCCAGTGTAGCAGCAGTCTCCGCATCAGTAGGCCTCAGCATACACAAGGGGAAAACAAAGGTCCTCAAATTCAAAACGAAGAACAGCAATCCAGTCACTCTTGATGACGAAACTCTGGAAGATGTAGAATCCTTCACATACCTGGGAAGCATCATCGGTGAACAAGGAGGTTCAGATGCAGACGTAAAGGCGAGAATCGGCAAAGCAATGGCCGCATTCCTACAATTAAAGAAGATATGGAATTCAAAACAACTTTCAACCAATATCAACGTCAGAACCTTCAATACGAATGTCAAGGCAGTCAGTTCTACTGTACGGAGCTGAAACATGGAGAACCACAACAACCACTGTCAAGTAGGTACAAGTATTTATAAATAGCTGCCTACGCAAGATACTCAACATCCATTGGCCCGGTACCATCAGCAACAGCCTTTTGTGGGAGAGAACAAACCAGCTTCCAGCTGAAGAGAAAATTAGGAAAAGACGATGGAAATCGATAGGACATACATTACGCAAATCGTCAAACTGCATCACGAGGCAAGCTTTAACTTGAAATCCTGAAGCGAAACGGAAAGGAGGAAGGCCAAAGAACACATTACGTCGGAAACTCGAAGCAGATATGAAAAGGATGAATAACAACTGGAAGAAGCTGGAAAGGATTGCCCAGGACAGGGTTGGATGGCGAATGCTGGTGAGCGGCCTATGTTCCTTCATAAGGAGTAACAGGCGTAAGTAAGTATTTTGTCATCCCTAAAATACTATCCAGTCTAGGAATTCGTGGTGTTATGGACTAACCAAATTCATGTACGTTGAAGTAGACAGCGACTTGGTACTCAATACAAACAATCTCTACTTGTGAGGACTAACAACCTCACTGGTTGGATAAATCTCCTGTCTTCGCACCGAGCCTCAATACTATTCAATCAACAAATCCACCACATAAGAAAAATCCTTCAGACACCTACGATCTAGCAGCCAACAGATATATCAACATAGAAGAATTTTTAAAATGAGATTTAAATAAAGCATTTCTGACTATATTTACCCGCAAATCCCAAGTACGAACACCCGATGAGTGACAGGTTGCAAACTTTTCACTTAAAAATCTATTCCATTTGACAATAATTGGTGAAGCTGAGAATACAAACAACAATAATTATCGAATTACTAAATTAACAAAATGTATCAAAATGCGTTAAACTTCATTGAGAAACATTCAGATGAAAGACAGAATGATCATTTAAACTTTGAACTCCTTATCAATATGTGTACACGACTGCGTACATGATAAATTCAAGACCTTGTTGTCTCGCATTAAATGTTATACCTTTAGGCTAATTGTTGAAAATACAATGATCCAAATTTTAAACTTCCTTAAATTCATAATACAAAGCGACTATAATTCAGTGACACTTATGAACAATTGCTTTATTCATGTATTTGTTTAGTAGCAAATCTTGTAAGCGAAATTTATTTTAATTCATTTTTGTATTGGTTGTTTAAATCTTCCCATTGATGTTTAGAACTGCAATTGATCGGTCTCTTATTGACATATGTGCATCCTGTGCGGATTGCTTCGGTTTTGCCTTAAATTATAAGCATTATAAGCAGAAATTCAAACAACTAACACAAAAATGAATTGAAAGTTCACCCGATTGAACAAGCTAGTGGCTATCAAAATTCAGTAGCTAAGTGGATATTGCGATGCCATTTGAAGTGAACAGCACTGGGTTCGAGCTCTAGAGTGAACATCATCTCTGGAATGAAGGTACATACAGTTGATGAGTCCCAAATAGGACGAAGCGCGCGTCCTAGATTCCACTGTTAGCCACCATCCATCTCTGCTTAGTAAATTATTTTTTTTACCGAATCCGTTTGTTCTTGTGACCTACATCCCAGAGAATGAGGAAGAACTTTACAGGGTAGTCAACGTAGTCAATTCATAGTATTTCTATCTGAAATATCGATATATGTGAGTCTGCAAGCATAAACTATTCGTATGCTAATTTTCTAAATGATAATAAAGTTGATGATAAATAAAACCATTAGAAATTATACAGATTGCATGAATAGCTGCTTTCTCAGAAAAGTGATTTTATATTTTTTTTAGTTATTCCTATTATATAATATCCAGTTAATGATAAAATGAATAATATTCACTGGGATTGTCTCGAGCGATAAGTGTTCGGAGATGGTACTTTATTGTTTGATTCCATCAAATCTTTCAGAAACATAGTGGATCGAGTTGTCATTACTATTTACCAATACTCTTCTTGAATGAAGCACAGCACATTATGTTTTCCAAACTATTCCGAATAGTTATGATGCAATCAGAATTCTAAAATGATTATAAATTAGTCAGTCTTTTTGAGGGTTGAAAGAGTTAAAATGCTTCGAATAAAAAAGTGAAAAAAGACGAATATAAGAATGTGAATTTTCGACAAAGCGAAACCTGTACAATACCTATATATTTTGTTCAAACAATATTTTTAAACAGAATAGCTTGACAAAATAATAAGTTCATTTTATTAAAAGGCCTCTCATGATATATACAAAAGATCACAAATTACAACGATTATGTTAAACATCAACTAAATTAAACAGTAATTGAATTTCAAAATCTATGGTAGATTAACGAGTTAAGCAAATAAAGACATTATATATTTGGACAGTTATTCGCGGAGATTATGTATTCTTTAAAAATAATTTTCACTACAGTCGGGCGGTTAGTCCAAGTTGTCTAGCCACAGCAGCACGATGACATCAAATGAGCACGATAATTAGCAAACGAATTGTAGTAACGTAGTTGAAATGATAACGAGAAAGACTGAACATTAGGAATATGGTACTAAAGGATAGAATGAAAAGGTACCTACGAAGGAATACTGAGACTCAAGATTTAGAGCACGATAACAAGCTGATGCATTTTCTATGCTCTGAACGGTTCTGATCCATGTTCCTTGAAATCTCTAACCTACTGGCCGTGGTTATCGCGATGAGACCAAACAGGTAATCCACATTTTCCACCATGGATCAGAACAACAGCCATCTTTTTTGTGGATTGATATTTGCTGGAGAACTAATTAAAATCAACTGATTCAACCTGGATAAAGATACCTCATATGCTTGCACATACGAAGATAAAAATGTAGAAAACTGGATTCTGTTTCGCTGACACCCTCAACACAAAAGGTTCTGGGTGTGAAACAGTGAATGGTTCTGAGTTAATTTATGATTTTAATAAAATAAACATACAAATGTTCTAATCATATTCATATAATCATGAAATGTGTTCATTTTCGTATACGAAAA